TTCATTTTATTTATTTATTATTTTTTAGTATTGTTTTGCTGAAGATATTATGGGTTACGACTAGGTCTTAGTTCGAGCTTGAGGTCACCCAAAACCTGGGACCCAAGCTTGAACGCATATATAAGAAGCTCATCCCAGGTCTTGCTAAACTTGACACACTCCCAACCTAACTAAGCTAGCCCAAGTAATCCTCACTTGGCTTGCTCTTTTAGTTTACAACATTAACTTTGGATTCCTTGCTATCGCTATTGCATCTGTGACCACCAGAATTATGATCCAAAACTGTGAGCGGATGCTTTAACATTAACGAATATTTTGCTGACTTATTCATTCATGCTTACTGCATGACGAGGCTATTTCAGTTTCTGAAAACATTTTGTTATTATTTGTTTTTCAGAACACATTTATAATAATGTTATAAAAAAAAATAAAAATAAAAAATAAAAAAAGACAAGATGGTTGTGAGTGGTAACATATTTTTCGCACTACTAAATTGTCGCTTCTCAACAACTAGTTTTTGGTCATTTGTGGTAGATTTGTCTTTACATTTTACTGGGTTGACAGCCATTACAACTACTTTGACTGATTTTATCACCTAAGGAAGCTAGCCTGAGTAATCATCACTTGGCTTGCTCTTTTAGTTTACAGCCATAACTTTGGATACCTTGCTACCACTATTGCATCTGTGACCACAAGAATTATGATCCAAAACTGTGAGCGAATGCTTTAACATTAACGAAGATCTTGCTGACTTGTTCATGCTGACTGCATCACGAGGCTTTTTCAGTTCTGAAAACACTTTGTTATTATTTGCTTTTCAGAACGCATTTATAATAGTGTTAAAAAACAAAACAGACAAGACGGTTGTGAGAGGTAACATTTTTTTCGCACTACTAAATTGTCGCTTCTCAACAACTAGAAACATGTTTTTTCGCACTACTAAATTGTCGCTTCTCAACAACTAGTTTTTGGTTATTTGTGGTAGATTTGTCGGTACATTTTGCTGTGTTGGCAGCCATTACAACTACTTTGATTGATTTTATCACCTATTTGCGTGCAACTTTCTTATCTGTTTTTGTGATTATCCTATATTTAATTGCATTAATAGTCATAAAAGTGAAATTACAAAGGCAAAAATGAATAGTAGTTTTTGTTCGCAAGGATGTAACAGAGAGACTGCAAACCAAACTTGAATATCAACTCAAGCCAACCTGAAAAGCGCCTAACTTTAGAAACCGGCCTAATGTCTTCTTAATTTATACTTGTGTTAGAAAAACTAAAGAGCTAAAAATATTGTTCCTTTACGAGGGGTATTAAAGTAGGGGATGGGAAAATAAAGGAGCAAATAAGTCAGCACAACAATTTATGATTTACGTTTAACTTATTTATGTAGTATAATCTCGAAGTAATTTAAAATTTAATTTTCCATGCACTTTTCATGAGACTTAGATCTTATCATCTCGCTTTTTTCCTTTAATTTTTTTCCTTTTCCTTCCCTTTCCTTTTAAATTTGGTGAAAATCAAGCTGAATTGATCTCAGCTAATGCTTACCTTTTCAGGATTGTGAGTCTTGAGCTGACCATTATAGCGCGTATGTCGCTCAGCTCAAGACTATGTGACTGAGCTTAACGCAAATATAGGGGCTATGACAAGTTTGAGTGCCTTGAATACAACATTGGCCTAACTAATTCAAGCATAGATCTATGCTAATGGACTTTGGTACGTTTGTCAAGTCCGTGTATGTGTCTAAGTCTAGGATTCATTAAATCCCTATACTCAAGGTTAAATAATTGATCTCTTGCTCACATGTGAGTGAGACCATTGGATATTATTATTATCTAACGGTCAGTTTGCAAACCCACCTTTTGCCTTTCCTAATCCAACAAAACCACTTTTCTCCTTATTTAAAGTTTGCTAAACTAACATTACCAATTTCTTGTACAATAAAAAAGCTACTTACCAAAAAAAGGAAAAAGAAAAGGGAATTAAAATATTGAAAGAACTCCCAAAAAAAAAAAAAAAATACTTGTATTAATCAATATTTGAATTTGCATGTATATGAACCAGTTGAATACAAAAAATTGATGAATCATGTTCCCATAAAATTGGAAGGGCTTGAGAGGGGTTACTTTCTCCTCTAAATCAAAGAGGATACAAAGCAAGTGATCCGAATATATATTACAAATGGTCTAATATGTCTATCTAGAGTGACAAACTGGTATTCAGAGAGTCCTAGCTAATGGATCAATTGGGAAAGAGAAGTAGGAGACTTTCATCACAACCCACATGCACAAACATGATCCTATATGAGAATTGAATGTACTTATAATTTTGAGCTGTGAATCCAAAGACACATCAAGTACTTTAATTTATAACTCCAACAGTAAGCAGAGGTGCCACCAGTGGCTCGCTGAATTCCAAATTTCCAACACTTAGCTAAAAACGGATGCAACTACTCAATGAAAGTACTCTGGGTACAAAGATTACAATTATTACAAGTGGCTAATAGGAATATCACAGAATTGAAATATTTGGTTTCTTTTATATATGAATCCATATATTGATTAATATTGGGATTTTTTTTTTTGGTTTCTTTCAATATTTTAATTCTCGTGTTTTTTTTGGTAAGTAGTTTTTTTTTATTGTGGAAGAAATTGGTAATGTTAATTTAGGAAACTAAAAGTGGTTTTGTTGGATTGGGAAAGGAGAAAGGTGGGTTAGCAATATGACAATTAGATTTTATCTGATGGTCACTATACTTGGTGAGGAGAAAAATTCTTACTCACCGGTGAGCAAGAGATCATTTCTGCTCAAGGTTATAGGGACATGCCACTTGTTTATATTATTTAATATTACTTTTATTTCTAGAGTAAAGTAATGATGGATCAATTGGGAAAGAGAAGTAGGAGACTTTCATCACAACCCATATGCACAAACATGATCCTATATGAGAATTGAATGTACTTATAATTTTGAGCTGTGAATCCGAAGACACATCAAGTACTTTAATTTATAACTCCAACAGTAAGCAGAGGTGCCACCAGTGGCTCGCTGAATTCCAAATTTCCAACACTTCGCTAAAAACTGATGGAACTACTTAATGAAAGTACTCTGGGTACAAAGATTACAATTATTACAAGTGGCTAATAGGAATATCACAGAATCGAAATACTTGGTTTCATTCATATACGAATCCATATATTGATTAATACTGGGATTTTTTTTTGGGTTTCTTTCAATATTTTAATTCTCGTGTTTTTTTTGGTAAGTAGTTTTTTTATTGTGGAAAAAATTGGTAATGTTAATTTTGGGAAACTAAAAGTGGTTTTGTTGGATTGGGAAAGGAGAAAGGTGGGTTAGCAATATGACAATTAGATTTTATCTGATGGTCACTATTCTTGGTGTGGAGAAAATTTCTTACTCACTGGTGAGCAAGAGATCATTTCTGCTCAAGGTTATAGGGACATGCCACTTGTTTATATTATTTAATATTACTTTTATTTCTAGAGTAAAGTAATGTTTTCTTTGATAACACATTCAGCATAGTTGCTTCACTTGTTTTGAAGTAATAATTTAACAAAAGAAATTTATTTATAGTGATTTATTTGCAATTATGTTTTAAACTTGAACTAGATTTGCTTGGTAGGTGCATGTCAAGGTAGGTATTCCATACCGATGCCCAACTGTCATGTCTTGGCATGGTTTTCGATACACTTCTGAAGAGTCGTGTGACATAGGTCTAAATAGCAAGTTACCTAGCTCACTGTAGTTCATTTGCACCCCTTACTTCAAGGTGATTATAGTTTGGGATATTTGTGAGTGCCTTTTGATTTAGGGAGTTAGAAGGTGAGAAAAGTAAAGGGGGAGGATAGCTTATCTCATGATTGGTTTAAACTGAATGGGGCACTCAGTTTAAACTTCAGTTTGAACCAAACTGAGCTGGTTCAATTGCAGTGTTTACTTGAAACTATAGTTTGTGGCTTTCAAACTACTTACCATATCTTATCCATGCTGATTAGTCGATCGCATGTGTTTAAACTAAGGGAGGAAAGGAAAGGAAAAGTAAAGGTTTTGTCTACTCCTTAAATAGTTTTTGATATTTTTCTAGAAGTGGTGGAAATGGAGTTAATATTTAGAGAGTTTCTTTTCTGCCCTTCCTACTATATTGAGAAACCATTCCTTTCATTTTGCCCCTCCACTATCTTCTCAAACAAGATGACGGATAACCATTATCATTTTCTTTCTTTTACTTCACTAGCTATGCAAACTTGACTAGGGTTCAAACTATCATTTTCTCATTTCTTTCCTATATTACTAAAGCCATCATTTCATTACCTTTCATCCTACTTATCTAAAGTCGCTATTAGTTTGACTTTTCTTTAAATTTTTGTAGTTTTTAATTAACCACTTTTTGGTTGTGTTGGAGAAAAAAGAAAGAACAAGAAAGATAGATGTGCATGATAAATTTGTGCTGGTAGAACAATAAGTTGTTGGCTATTTGTGGCAGTTTTGTTGCTGTATTATGCATGATTGGCAACTTTCATCTCAACATTGAATGGTGTTGCCACCTAAGTACATGCCAATCTTGTAGCTGTGTAGTTCCTCAGAAATCATTTTGTGATTTTGCATTAAAAAGTATACAGAAATAAAAGAACGTGAATGATTATAAATTTTACCTATACAGAAATGAAAGAACTTGAATGATAATAAATTTTACCCATCAGAAAGTTGTCATTTTAACAGAATTTTTTTGGCTATTTTGTGGGATTTGTTGCATATTTTGCATGATTAACAATTTTCAACCAGCTTTGAAAGGTAACATTTCTTTCTTCATTTTTTTCTGCTTATATAAAGTGAAATTTTGTAGAAATCTTGTAGGAAGTCATCCATTGCTATGCAGTCTTGAAAACTTACATTGCTAATTTGCTCTACCAAAATTACCTTCTCTTTTAGTTACCTTGTCTTTTCCTAACATTTGCTCACGTGATGCCTTTTCCTAGTCATCCAGAAGTAGAAAATTCTAGCTTTCTGTGGGATCAACTGCTCCACTTCACATAATAAGGCGTATTTCCTAAGAGTTCTTTCACTTTATCTCTGTCTTCAGCTTTAATGGGTAAGGCAAGTTCCTGCTTAATCTTCATCTATAAAATTACTTGTTTGCTTGATTCCTTTATATATATTGGTTGCATGTTTCATTTTGACAGGTTATCAGGTTGACACGTTTAAGGTCAAATTAACCAGCTTTTTTATTTTATTTTATTTTTTTGAGTTGAAGTCGCGCAATTGAGTCGTGTCAAATATTCCACCCTAACAGCTTATCCCATATGTTAGACTCCCTCAAATGGTCCTTAGATTTTTTGAGAAACTAGAAAGGCAGAATTAAAAAAAAAAATTAAAATTAAAAAGAAAAGAAAAGGAAAGAAAATGGTCACTTCACTTATATTCACATAATTGAGAATTGAGTTGTGTCAAATATTCCACCCTGATAAGCTTATTCCATATTTTAAACTCCCTCAAATAGTCCTTGGATTTTTGGAGAAACTAGAAAGGCAGAATTTTTTAATTATTTATTTTTATTTTTTTTATAAAAAAAATAAAAAAAAAAATGGTCACCTCACTTACAGTTGACTAATCGGTCTCATTATGAGTTTTTTTTTTTTTGATAAGTAATAATTGAAATAAAAAGGCGTTCAAAAGGGGAACGCATCCTTTATACAAAAGTGGAACCAGGGTTTAAGGCCCCAAAGAAGCCAAAAAAATAATTAAATCTTCAGGAGAGGAACAGGACTTCCTCTTCACATAACTGAAAAGAGAGCATATGATATGAAGTTTCATAATCGCCGTGGACGATTCTTTCCCTTCGAACATTCTACTATTCCTCTCCTTCCAAATGCACCACCAGACACAATGTGGCACAACTCTCCAATAATCGTGAACAACACTACTCACACAGCATCCTCTCCAAATACGAATCAAATCCTTAGGGTAACGAGGCATAACCCAGCGCATACCAAACAGACAGAAGATAAGATTCCAACAATCGCTCGCCATAGGACAATGCATGAGAATATGAGCAACTGACTCACCATCTTGTTTGCAAAGGCAACACCAGTTAACAAGACAGTTGCCTCTTTTCCTTAGATTATCAATTGTTAGGATCTTACCCCAAACAGCGGTCCAAATAAAGAATGCCACCCTAGTTGGAGCCATAGACTGTCAGATAGTCTTCCACGGAAAATCAACAATATCAAAATCAAAAAGACAAAAGAATAAGGATCTAACTTTGAAGCGACCATGGGAAAAGGGAATCTATATTATGTCATTACAACCTCTGCCAACTGCCTCCTGTCGATACAGTAAATCCAGATAAACACATACTTCGTCCACCTCCCAATCCTGAAAAGAGCGCAGAAAGTGCATGTCCCACGTAATCCCACTACTATCAAGCCGATAACAGTTGGCTACATAAGCATGTCTATCAACTGCAATACTGTATAATCTGGAAAATAAACAAGATAAAGGCCGGTCTCCACTCCAAAGATCCTCCCAAAAGTGTACACATCTGCAGTCACAAACTTTGAATCTGATATAAGTAGAAAAAACATTCAATCCCTTCCGAATGAATTTCCACGCCCCAACTCCTCCCACGAGAGAGACCGGACGAGTAGACCAACCACCACTCTCTTTCCCATATCGGCATGAAACAAGCCTTCACCAAGGGCGGTGTCTTTCCCTCCCATACCTCCACAGCCATTTTCCCAAAAGAGCTTGGTTAAAAGGGACTAGTCTTCTGATACCAAGGCCACCAAACTTCATTGGCTTGCAGACTTGTTCCCAATTGACAAGGTGATACTTAAATTCTTCTCCTTTTCTACCCCAAAGGAAATCCCTTTGAATTTTTTCAATCCTAGCAGCAACAGAGCATGGAATTTGGAACATAGATAAAAAAATATGTGGGAAGGCTCGATAAAGTGCTCTTATGAGTTTGTTTTTATGTCTGTTGGATCGATCAATGGTCTTTATTAAATTAGCCGAGTACTTGACAATGAAAAAGTGAGCTCATTGTGTAAGTGGCTCATCAGAGCTTTTTTTTCCTAGAATTCAGTTAAAACCATTCATCAATCGCTCAACAATTATTAGGCATGAAAAACGAAACTAGCTGTCATTTCATAGACGGGTACTCCGAGTCTCATTATTCCTCAGTATTGACCTCCTTCACAAACTCTTCCTCTCTCTCTCTATAGCAAATGCTACTGCCATACATGTCTATATGCTATTTCTCTCTTGTTCGCATCACTGTCCACTCAAACTTCATGCCCTTTCTCTCTCTTCTTTCTTCACAGATACCACTCTCACTAGATAGATTAAAGAATCCTCTTTCTTTATCTCTAGAGGTCTTTTGGTCGCACTTGGTTTTATCTCTAGCCGTGGCAGTAGAACTTAAGAAATCAAGGACAGGAAATGATCATCAACCAAATCAGAATGATGGAAAAAACAATCAACTAATTCGTCAAAAATGATGCAGCAATGAATATGCTGATGTAATTATGAAAAAAAAAAAATGAATACCCTGATGATCTCACCCAACGAAATCACTTCTTTATCTTTATCTCGTTTGTTGATTGTTGATAGTGGCTTCTAATATTGCCGGTAATATGTCATGCTCCTCTAAATTAGAGAGAGGTTGCATGATGCAGGTGACATGCGAGCATTCACAAGACACTGCGTGGCAAATTTGGGAGCTAGTTTTGTAGAGTTTTTCACAATTTTATAGAGATTTGTAGAGAGTTAAGGAGGATCTAGAAAGTGAGAGAGAGTTGTTTAGATTGTAAATATCTAAGATGTTTTGGTGGAGTATACTAGAGAGTTGGTCTTGGCCATCCATTTAGGTTAAGTTCTTTACTATTGTTTTTGTATATTTATTGCTTTTCAAATATAGTGGCAACTAGTATGTTCTCTTTCTACTTGCGCACATATAATGATGTGGTGATTCATTGTTTCAGTGCATTTTTCATTCATTTGTAAGTTCTTTATTTAATTACAATGTAGATAGGTACTAAAAAATATGCAGAAAACAGAATGAAGCTCAAGGTCACATATTGTGCTGGGTTAAGGTTCTTCGTGCAGATCTTGGAAGATTTGATAATATATAACACTATTTCACTGTGTTTTTTTATTTTCTTCTCATTCTAGAACCATACATATTTTGTCATATGTGATAATTTTTTAATTTGTAGACGAAGATAGCAAGGAGGATCTTGAGCATCAGGGGCACATTACAGGAAGGGACTGGATGGACACATGAGGAGGTTCACATATTATAGGTAAGTTACGAAAATTTATTATATGTTACAATGAAATTGCTGCGGACTTTTGCATTTGTGTTGTTTCTTGTGTTGTGTGGATTGAAAAAATGATCTATAGAACAGATTTAAGTTGACTGCTTCTTATGGAGTGGTTTAAGTTTGGAATGGTAAACAGGAGAAGAAGAGTCGTGGGCTTAAAAAGGAGGTGAAGTTTTGGATACAGTTTTCTTTTAGTGCAGCATGGTATATTTAGCAGTCACATTCAAGGCCTCACATGTATATTTAGCCGTTGATGAATGTTGTTGAATTTGTTTTTCTTAGGGTTTATTAGTGAAATTAATAGTCTTTTGTCATTAATATTGCAATTTTTTCATTATTAATTGAATCTATTATGTTTCAGAATCAATGCCTTGTGTAGGTTTCAGAATCAATGCTTCACTTGCTTTTCTAATCATGTTGTAGTAGCACAAAATAAATACCATTGATTGGTTGAAAAATTAAAGCTTGACATGGTCTTTGAAATCATATTGCAAAATAAAACACATAGCTGGACTAGATTCCTCCTCCTCTGGCACCTTTGACTGACTGCTAACACTGCATAAATCCTCTTGAAAATTTTATGGGTCCCAATAGTTAATAGGTGCAAAAATTACAATATGCTTCAGCAGCTCTGCATCAGCCTGCTTGTCTAAACAATCAGTGACGGATCTAGAAAATATATCAGGGGGATCCATCTTGAACAAGAAGATTTTTTATTTTTCAAATTATTATAATAAATAAAAGAACTTAACATTAATTGATGTTCTCTGAGTACATTTACAAATGTTGACGAGTTTTCATATTTTTGGAATGTCGTATGATTTTTCCATTATGTATGCTACCAGATATTTCCTTTTCAACATATATAATCAAATTCACTCATCCATTCATCTCCCATCTGATTGTGCAATCGATTTTTCACAATATTTATAGTAAAAAAATTCCCTATCTGAGAGTCGATTACCATAAATGTGGGGTGGTAGAGTGTGAGAAATCGAGAGAGACGAATTAGTTTACGTTCTTTAAAATCCAAAAATATCAGTGGGACAAGAATATATAGTGGAGTATTTTCAAAATTTAGTGGGTTTAACAAAAACATAGGTTATAATATAAATAAAAAAATTCAGTGGGGGGTGGCTGCCACTCGCTAGGTTCCTACCTGTTAACAATGCCCTTAATAGCTGCATACAATCACTATTTTAGTTTACAGAAATTTTCTTCCTTGGAGAACTTAATACTGGTATGATCTGTAGTATTACTCCAAACATTTGGGAAAAGGCTTGGTAGTTGTTGTATCTGTCATACCATATAGTCAGTTATATAGTACATTGCAATCACAGCATGTCTCATCACAACAACACAGTAGTAAATGTATGGTTAATCGATCTTACAAAGCTTTAAATAAAAAATAAAAAGGCAAATCCATTTTGTAACTCAACTCTGTGTAAGTCAAACCTTTGTTCATTTGGCACAGTGAGAGCATCCTAGAATTAAAATGCAGTCTAGTTTAGAACTCATGTCCATGAGGTATGGCGACAACTTCTAAAATGGTTGTTCCGGATGTCTTATTTCCAATTCCTCTGCATGATATGACATATGAATGTATTATCTGATTGATGGGCCGATTTTTAGTAAAATGCTAAGTGTTGGATCTAATAATTTCGAGTTGTTTTCTAGTTATTTTTGTTGAACTAAATATATTGCTTTACTTGATAGTAACTTCTGATTGAAAATGCAGAATGAAATGGTGGTGAAATCATCATTCAGATCCTAGCCATCCAGTCCCAGATGAGGAGGTAGTGCATGGCGGCACTCCGGTTGAAGGGAAATTATGCTTGTGGATTTTTGTAGGAAAAAATGTTGCATTTTCCTCCTCGAGCCATGTGAAGACAGCCATTGAGTTGGAGGTAGGAAGGAAGAGGGCTGATATAGCTGAGCTGGAATGTGTGATGAGAGGAAGGAGCGAATCTCGCAAAGGAAGGACTTGTATGGGGTTCTTTTTTTGAATTCTCGTTTGGCTCCGTGATGTCCTTGCAGATTGGGTCGCAATTCATCACACATTAGCGGTTACCGTTTGGCAGCCACCAGCAGTGGTAGCAGTCACTTTTTTGACTCTTTGGCAGCCAGCAGAATCGGTGGCTACTGTTTGGATCGATTGTTTCCAAGCAACAGCACCCAATGTTCAGACCGTTTTGGTCCCCAGTACCAGCCACCATTTGACTTGTGAACTTCCAAACAGAATAATAATTTCTGTCTTTGGATTAACGTACTTAAAGATATTGTTTAGAAAATCTCTGTTTATTTGGACTCGTCCTATAAACAGCGACTCTAGGTACTTGAGACGCTGTTTAGTACAATGCTAAGCCTAATTAACACCATTTAAGGTTTGTTTTTTTTTTTTTTTTAATGAATATTAGAACATAGCTTTCTGATTATATTTTTGCATAATTGTCATCGTTATGTAATGGAAGGCTGGTATCATATAACATTTTTTACTGGAGAATTCGAATTCTATTGGCTTAGTGGTCTTTCCCTTTTAATGTGTAGGGTAGAGGATTGAGTCTCTCTAAGTGTATGCATGTGGGAGTTAATTGGCAAGATGGAAAACAAAAAAAAAAAAAAAAAAAAATTAAAAATTCAGGAAATTTTGATAGTAATTGCCTGTGCGCTTGTGGGATGTTGAAATTGTACTTGCTGTGATTTTTTTTTTTTTTTTCGAATAATTTAAAATATTTGCCATAGTTTGTTTATGTCGCAATAGTCCAAAACTGTTGCTAAAACAACTGAATAGTTAGTCATGGTAAGATTGTTGCAAAAACAATAGCGTAGAAATTAAGCGTTCCTAAATCTCCAACTTCACTTTTAGTGGCAAACATAAAAGTGTACCTGCCCAGCGCCCCAAATACACCGTCATTAGTACACACTGTCTAATTGGATATTGCGCCTCTACCTTTAGAGATAACAGTCTATCATCGCAATAGTGACATCGCTATACTGCCTAGTCTTTTTGCGTGGCTTACCCTAGTGATGGGGAAGTACCAATGCTGTTTTACCCACTTTTGGCTACCAAATTTCCGGAGGCCCTCTAACAATAGGATTGGAGTGCCACGGGACATACCATGTCATTGATGCGTCCATTCAATCAAAATACACAACTCAAATTAATTGTTAACAATTTTTACAAACAGGTACATTATTTTCTTTGAATAGCGCATTTGAATTGAATGGACATACTAATGACCTAATATGATTAACGTACCCTACGTCTCTTCATTGGGTTAGAGAACGCAAGACCTCTGTAAAATGGTTCTCAAAATTGCATCCTTTTTTTAGATAGCAGATACAATAGATAGCCTAACTGAACTCTTCCATCCCAGGATGCAGCATAACATAGATATTGATTTATGTATACAAGTTTATAAACCTATGGGGTGCTGTAAATGAAAAGCAAAAATGCACAGAAAGGCACAGTTTTAAGGCACTGGAACTCGATATACAGATCAGTTCCACATAAAAGTAGGACCTCGAGACTGCTGCTGCAGTTGCCATTCTCTGTCTTTGAGATAATGCAGAAGTTGTGGCTGTTCAACTCTTAGATCCATGCCACCACCATTTCCATAAGGGCTCGGTCTTTGGTAGCCGAGAAATAAGTTCTCCCCATTTTGTTGATCTGCACCATGTATTAGAGGAGAGCTTGGATACAATTGTGGGTTCTCCAAAAATACCATCTGACTAGAAGCCAAAGGAGTACCCCACTGATTAAAAAGATCAAGCCCTGAAGCATGTTGACCATGGAAGTTTCCAACATTTCCAGGTGCACAGAATCGATCCGGCAATGTATGATTATTAGCTCGCTCAATAATTTGATTATTCGTGTACTGACGAAGCCAATCAGAAGAACTCAATCCAGGTAGTGGGTACCTATAATCAAGACCTGCTGGGACAAGGGGAGCAAAATTTAATGGTCCATGCGTAGCTGACCAATTTGTGTAGCAACTTGGTGATGCACCAAGAATACCATCTGTCTCCTTGATGCCCACTGAGCTCTTGCAGTCGGAAAAACTGGACGTATTGCCACTGAACCAAGTAGCATCATCAGGTAATAACGGGGCAGAAGGCACCGGAAGTGAATAAGGAGGAGGAAGAGGAGACAATTGGGCTGTTGCAGAAACATGCTCAGCACCAAATGGTGAATCTTCAGTTCCACAGACGGAGAGACCACTCAAAGATGCAGAAGCTATTTCCTCAATAGGGTCTAGGACATGTTTACTAAAATCCCTCGGTCCTTTCTCTCTTTCAATATTCAAACTCTCTCTATTAAATACCCAAGCACTGAGGGACGGAGGCCCAGCAGGGTATGTTGCTGAATCCTTCGAAAGAGGCTCCTGCTGCTTGGATGGCCTGCTGAATCTGAAGTTGTGAATATTCAATGGATCAGCCTGCTGGGATTGGCTTTGTGCTACATATAGTGATGTGGCACGGCGCAAACATTCATCAGAAGTTGCTGTTTTGTCCATCATGCACTCTATAGATATTTGGTCATTAGTGGTAATAGAAGAACAAATAGGTGCAGAGTTATATCTTGTGATAGGCTTGAAGAGAATGACTTCTTCCTCTTCCATGGCAACAGATTTTCCATTTCCAGAAAGGAGACTTTGATTTTCCAAAGGGGCATCTTCTTCATATTCTTTTGTGGCTCCTGATTCATGCCGATGGGGCTCTTCTACTTCAAGATCAGAACTGGACTCTGCTACTTCTGCTTCTCTCCTGTCTAGAATCTTTATGGACTCTGGTGTGTAGAATTTCCTTCCCAATTTATCAAAACAGACCCAGTTTCGAGAATCATTTGATCTCTCCGCAATCTTCATACCAGCACAAAATATGCGTTGAGCACGGGATACATTTCCACTGCTAAAATTGCCCATATGTTCCCAGTGAGAAATGAAATCTAATGATGCGTGTGCATGGGCTATTGGTGCAAAGCCCCTCAACTCATAATCCTCCCACACAGCAGTATGATCTGGATTCTTGACTTCACCCTCACTATTATCAAGTCGGTTAAGAAGGTCGACAAAAGCACCAAAAAAGTAAGACATAGCACTTCCAACTTTTTCATCGGTGCAATATGTTTCTGCATTATCAAGCATGCAAACCAACCATTCCGAAAACACAAGCACAGCAGGTAAAATGGGGCAGAAGTCCAGAGAATTACCCTTCTTACATCTCTCAAGAAGGCGACCCATACAAATAAATGTAGCAGTCAATGCCAATTGTGTCAACATAGGCTGCTGCATATCATTTTTCTCTCCCAACTCCTTTAGTTCTGGACTTTTGGTCAGCCTGTAGATGATGAAGATGAGTATAGAAACCACTTGAAGGGCTCGATAAGGGCCTTTTCTGGCTGAATCCATATGTTGGTAGGACTCCAATCCGGCTTTTAGTTCAGTATCATCTAGTGCCACCAACGCTTCCAACTCTCTCACAGTTAATGCAAAAGCGCAAGGAAAGTCCTTCAAACTGCATTATTGCATCCAATGTCAGAACTCAGAGAAGCTGCAAACACTAGACAACCCAGTATTAATCTCATAGTATTAAATTATAATTATGACTTCATTAATTAAAACCATTATATAATTAAAGAATGGGTGGATTGCAAGTTCCCTTACCATGGAAATGAAGTGGGATTCAGAATCAAAGTTGATATAGTGCAATATACATACATACATACATACATACATATATATATATTATATTGATCACCATATGCTACTTCCTGTGATTATAGAAGAAAAAAATAGTGAATTTTTCAGGATGCCAACAATATGTCCGATCCTAACCCCAAAAGGGATAGCCTAGTGGCAAGGTTCTCACTCATGTCCTTGAGGTTGGGAGTTTGAAACCAATTGGGGCCACCCCCAAGGAATTTTTCCAGTAATTGCCTGATGCATGTGGGACTTGGGAGTGCATGTGCTCGGTAGTGGATTATGAGGTGCTCAAAGAGGCCCAAAACCCCATCGGGAAAAGAAAAAAAAAATTTGTCAGAACCTTATTTAGGATTCAAGGTCAAATATTCCAGAATCAGAAAATGCTGGCAGATGGGCATTGCAGATCCAATTCTGAACCTTGATTTTGTTGGTCTTTGTATTTCTCATGATGTACACGTGAGTCATCTAATAATGCACTCAATTTCTCATTTTGCAGAAGTGCTTCAAATCAACTGATTAATTATTGGGATTACAATCAAGTGTATATATATATATATATATGTATGTATATTGTCATTGTATTAATGTACTTTCCTCCTGAATTACTCCTCTCTTTTCTTAGTCTTTATTAATACTTTTAGTATTAGACCCCAATTCGGTTATATTCGATTGACGGGATAATAACTAGAAATGAACGGATTCTAACAATTCCCCGAAAAATTGGAACTGGACCAATCCAATAAAAACACCTAAACCAAACAGAACACGAACGGTTTGCATTAAGTTCGACTTTGTGATTGGGCTTACTTGAGAACATAGCTCAATAATAGCTAGACCTATCATATTTGAAAACTCAATTTTTAACATTACTAAAGAATTGAAAGTTAAAGTATTCCGATTCGGTTTAGATTGGTTTAGTTTTTTTGCTAACCTAAACTGTGAACCTAACTAATCCTAAGCGTTCCAATATTTTTGAAATTGAATCTTAACCATTGGCTTGTTGAATTGAACCAAATCATATGATTTGGATTGGTTCGGGTATAGTTTGAACAACTCTATGTGCACCCCTATTTAGGATATTATGCACTACTATATACTTAAAGAGTCATTCACCTAGAGTCCCCAAAGATGGTCATCAAGTGATATATTTGAAGTTGGGGATTCAACTTGGCCAAGTTTAGGGGTTAGCATATTTTTTCTTTCTTTCTTGGTTGGTACGTTTCCAGCTTAGCTTGGAGAAAGATAGCGACTCCCACACACACACATGCCTTCACTAAGGCTTGAACCTTGACCTCCCTTTGAAAAGTAGGACAAAAAAAAATTTGTTTAGGGTTTATCCCAGGATCAACCAATTATACAAACCCTTTAAACCAACCTAAGCTCATCATCCAAAACCCAACCCATACCAAAACATTTGAGCTCAGTATAGAATTTTGGGTAAAAATCAAGTTGAGTTTGAGTTGGAAGCATTGAAGGGCTAATTTACTCATAGCAACCTTTCAAAATAATAATTCCACCCGACAAATAATTAAAATTTCGTGAAGTGCATCTAGTATATTGTGTGGTAGGCGTATCCTCCTACAATTGAAGGGGAATGTTGAGACAGATGTGCTGTAAGACTAGAAAGTACAGAATTAGAAATGATCACATTCAGGAGATGGTTAGAGTAGCACCAATTGGAGATAAAATGAGAGAATCGGTTAAGATGGTTTAAACATGTGCAAAGACGACTTTTAAGTGCACTGGTTTGGAAAAGGAAAAAAAAGTTAACGTACACACACGAGCGCTTGGCATGACATCGAATTAACGACTGGGTCTGGTTTTGATACCAATTGTAACGGGTCGGACACTTGTCTTCTGACCCAAAAGTTGAAGCTATTGGGCAGTGGTACATACCCACCATATATACACAATCTCTTTCCCATCTGGATCGAATGTGGGACAACTAACAAGACAGGCAATAAGCATGTCCTAACTTTTTAGGTTGGCTAAAATTTTTGAACAACTTAAATGAAGCCATTCCAATCATTTCATTTTTCTAAAAAATCCCTCCTCCCTTGGACCTCACGTAATCTTCTCTTACCTTAAGATGTGTATCAAATTGACCTCCTACTAACTTCAGATCTGTATCAAGCTGCAGTTTGGTGGACATTGCATTTATATTTTTGGGCCTATAAATTACAGTGCAGTAATAGCCAGTCTTTTCCTTACCGATGGGTGATACTAATTACCACGCACCATGTAGAAGACTGATTTCAGTTTTCATCCTCGTGAGCAGAAGAAAACCTACTGCAGAAGAAGTATTTGAATTTGATTGAGGAATTTGCAGAGAAAGCCTAAGAAGACCAAAAACTGCAATCTCCAAGAAGAGAAATCATTCTCCACAAATGTGATTACCATTGCAATTTTGGTATTAACCTAACTTTTCTCTATTTTCATTTGGAGGAGGGATAAAAGGAAGAAGCTTAAATTGATGCATGTGTTGGCGGAACTGAGTCTCTGTGGGGAGGTTGTAGCTGTCAGGAAATTACCCTTTTGGCTTTGTGGGGAGGTTTAATCTTATTGAAATTATCTGCGTATCCTCATTTTAATGAGGTGGCAGGTACCAATAGTTGAGTATTTTTATCTACCAGGTGCAAGGACATTCTACTCCTTCCTATGAAGGTGGGAGGTTGGTTGTCACATACATACTTGTGTGTGTATTTGAGTTCGAATTGGATATGGATTTGGGTTATCGTATACCTCTCTCAAGACTATACCCAAATTTAATTCTAGTTTGAATGTTCCAAATCAGCCATACCCAAGCTTTACATAATCGCTGGCTAGACCCACGGATGGGGTTGGGTTGGTCAGCCCAAATTGTACCGATACCATTGAAAACAATAATGAAAATGAGAGACCAAAATCAATATCTTGTTGGCTAGACCCATGACAAGTTTACAAAAAGAAGACGGGCCTCGAAGTATATAAACATTTCCTATCTCTTGTTGGCTGAAGAGGGTTGAAAGAATGTGCAGAAAGCAAAATAATGAAGAATGGACACAGCCAAATGAATTGGCATATGATGCATGCTAGAGTATGAGTATACCAAATCAATTGTAATTATTGACATATTGTTCTAAGTAGCTAGCCTCAAATCTAGTTGTAACAGAAATGTTATGCAGCATGACCCACTGAAACACCCATAACTAATGGTGATTAAATGGTCCGGAAATGTCAACAAGTTTCGCAAAAGAAACTACTTTAATTGTTTTTAAATTTTATGCACTAATGACGCAATTAAAAAAATTCAGCAGATTATTTGAAGGATCTATATGATACTTTAAACATCCAATAAACAATTATCTGGGACAAGGAGAATGAAATAATTCAATCTGGACCAATCTAAATAGCCTGAGAATATTGATTCTCGGGTTCAAAATGCCTATGCACACATTCAAGAAACGGGTTACCCAAAATAATGAACTATAACAACCTCTACTGCTACCAACCACTAAGGCTCCATAAAGAGAGAAGCGTGGAGCAATACACGGGTATCTAAAATAGGCTAGATCACAATATAACAACCATTAAGGTCCACCTCCATAATGCACGCTCACCCTCTTTTTATCCCAAGAACCTCACCACCACCCATCTTTTTCTATACTCATCTCCTCTTCTCCTCCTTTAACAAGAAGTGAACCAGGAAAAAGCAAAAAACTTCACATCTCTCTCTCTCTCTCTTCCCTTCCCTGGAGTTCTTTTTCTCTATGGCTAATAAAATGGGTCTTCGGCTTGAGATAATCCTCCTCCTGGCATTGGCAATGGTGGAGTCATCATCATCACTATTCAATGATGCCAACTGGGGTACTGTTTCCTATTTCGACCTTGATTCACTACGTCCCCGTGGCATCAGTACCACCTGTACTGGTCGAGTTGGTGATTGTATTGACGAGGCAGAAGAGATGATGATGGATTCAGAGGCTAGCCAACTAACACTCGCTCAAAACCAAAGGTTCAGTAGCTATAGAGCTTTTCAGAAGAACCACGTACCATGCAATCAACGAGGCCAACTCTACTATAGTTGCAATAAGAGAGGAGGAGCATATCCTTAATTTTGTAGTTGCTATATGTGTATACCAAATAGATAGTCACCAATTAAATTTTTTCAAGAAGCACCTCAAATCGTCTCTTGTATGTGAAAAAAAATGTAGTATAAGGAAACAATCATAATTTTTTTTTTTTTTTTTTTTTTTTTTTTTTGTGCTTAACTGATTTGAATGTGCATCAATTATCCTAATCCACATAATTCCATAAAAGGGAATAAAGAAATGATCCAACTATATGTCAATGGGTTTTGCAAAAGCAGCCCATTTTACTTTTTCAGATTTTATGGGATAATAATCCCACTATAAATTTAGGGAGTTGATATTTGCTCTCCAAAAAAGACCTAAGACACTCCACTTTTATTCTTTTATAAATAAAATGACAAATATAACTTTAAATTGTCCATTTATCATAAAACTTTGCAACATCCCTTATTTTCTCTCCCCTCTCTCTTCCCTCACTTATCCCTCCGCTCTTTCTTCATCTAATTTCTTTCTCGCCTAAATATTTTTTCTTTCTTTAGTAGAACCCATCATCACCTATTCCCAATAATCTGTTGAATTAAGGAATTCAAAGATGTCTAGAATGTCAAATGTTTAAATTAGGTGTGTCAAAGATTTTAGGGATCGTGTTGCTTGATTCTAGGGATTATGTTTAGAATCAAGCCTATAAATATTCTATAAAATTCATGAAATGATATGAATGAAAAAATACAATTCATCAAATAAACATGGTATCAGAGCATGGTTAAAAAAACCCCATTTGATTCATTGTTCTAAATGTTTTTTTTTTCCCTTTCAAAAATCAAAACCCAGATATCCATCACCTCTCTGTAATCAATAGAACTTGCCCTCTCTCTGCAAATCACAAAATTTAGAAACTGGATCTCCAGTCACCAGCCCATAAGATTCCATTATGCCGCTGCCATACACTGAGGATCCACCGCCAGAAAAGGAGCCCGCAAGCCCACTATCCTCTTGAAATATTTGAATGCCCAGATCCGCAGCCGCGAAATCCAAATCCACCGACGACGAGTGAAACAAACGACGCCCCCAGGACTCGTCGTCATCATTACTCGTCACCGACGAGACCGAGTCGATGTCGCTGTAGTCATCGACGTCAACTACGTGAACCGTCGCCGGATCTGTCACGCCGCCGCCCTTCCTCGCTGCGCCGGACAGCGAACAAAATCCCAAACCAGTCGCCGATCTGCGGACGACCTGCCACCGCCGCACCGTGGTCAACTTGGATATAAGTGGTATAACATTGGATTCCAGTGGTGATGACTCACAGACTGAAAACAATCAGGAAATGGATTTAAATGGTATGACATTAGATCAAAGTGGTAATGCAAATGGTGATGAACACCCAATAACCGAAGAAGTAGATCTATCTCCAACTCAGCCTGAAACCGAGTTCTTGGAAAATATGGCTCCATCTCTTGTTGACATATCACACCAATCGCTTATTGAAGATGTTCCTGAGCCACACAAAAGACAGTTGCCACACCGTCACACCAGAGGTATTCCTAAACCTACATATGAACCTGAACTTTCTAGTAAAGTAAAATACCCTATGAGTCATTATGTGTGTAACTATGGTTTGTTAAAATCAAACATGTCATTTATGAATCAATTATCTGTTGTATCTATTCCTAACAGTATGCAGGAAGCCTTAGCTGACCCCAGATGAAAAGTAACTATAAACGAGGAGATGACATCTCTGAAACAAAATGACACATGGGAACTAGTTGATCATCTACTAGGGAAGAAACCAGTTGGACGTCGGTGGGTTTACACCTTGAAGTACAAGGCTGGCGGCAAAATAGAACGCTTTAAGGCAAGATTGGTAGCAAAGGGATACACTCAAACCTATGGGATTGATTACACAGAAACATTTGCACCTATAGCCAAAATCAACATAGTTCGTGTTCTGCTATCTTTAGCTGCAAACTTGGGTTGGCCATTACAACAATTTGATGTAAAAAATGCTTTTCTACATGGTGAATTAGCCGAAGAAGTTTACATGGATCTCCCACCAGGATGCATGATACCTGAACAACATAGTTAGAATGTGTGCAGGTTAAAGAAATCGTTATATGGGTTGAAACAATCTCCGAGAGCATGGTTTGGAAGGTTCACAAAGTCTATAATAGCCTTTGGCTACCATCAGAGCAATTCAGACCACACTTTATTCCTGAAGAAACAACAGGGTAAGATCACCGCACTCATTGTATATGTGGATGACATGGTGGTTACAGGGAATGATCCTAAAGAATTACTTGTCCAAAGAATTTGAGATGAAAGATCTAGGTCATTTGAAATATTTTCTTGGGATTGAAGAATCTCGATCTAATAAAGGGATCTTTCTATCTCAAAGAAAATATGCTTTAGATTTATTACAAGAGACAGGTATGATAGCATGTCCACCAGCTGATACACCAGTGGAAGGAGGACTGAAGTTATGTGTTGAGTCCAACCAAGTACCTGCTAATAAAGGAAGATACCAAAGACTTGTAGGGAGATTGATGTACTTAGCACATACGAGACCGGATCTGGCGTATGCATTGAGTATCGTTAGCCAGTTTATGCATGATCTTGGAGAGCAACATATGAATGTAGTTATACGCATTTTGAGGTATCTGAAATCTGCTCCTGGAAAAGGAATTTTGTTCACTAAAAATGCTGATTATCAAAGCATAGTTGCATATATTGATGCTGACTGGGCTGGATCCATAGATGATAGGCGATCTACCTCTGGTTACTTTACTTTCGTAGGAGGTAATCTTGTGACATGGAGAAGCAATAAACAAAATGTTGTAGCTCGCTCAAGTGCAGAAGCTGAATTCAGAGGTTTGGCAAATGTACTTCGTGAGGCATTATGGCTAAGAAACCTCTTGCAGGATTTGGGTTATCTATTTAAACAACCTATCCGACTGTTTTGTGATAATAAAGGAGCATGTGACATCGCGCATAATCCAGTTCAACATGACCGTACAAAGCACGTTGAGGTAGACAGATTTTTCATTAAGGAAAAGTTGGATGGAAAGCATGTGGAATTACCTAAGATTGGATTAGAGGATCAGTTGGTGACATTCTGACCAAAGCAGTCTCAAATCGAGTGTTCTTAAAGTTTTTAGACAAGTTGGGCACGTGGAACATCTATGCACCAACTTGAGGGGGAGTGTTGAATTAAGGAATTCAAAGATGTCTAGAATGTCAAATGTTTAAATTAGGTGTGTCAAAGATTTTAGGGATTGCGTTGCTTGATTCTAGAGATTATGTCTAGAATCAAGCCTATAAATATTCTGTAAAATTCATGAAATGATATGAATGAAAAAATACAATTCATCAAATAAACATAATCATCTTACCAAATAACTCAAACCCTTCCACCTGATAGGGAAGCATTCCTCAATACGACTGTGAACTTACTCTTTTTCTGTTTAATTTAAGAATCACATCTCATTAATATCACTTTGAGACAGAAGAAACAAAATTTCTCCATGTTTTTTTTTTCATGTTTGGGGAAGAAACAAAATCTCCTCACGTTTTTTTTTTTTTTTTCATTTTCAAGATCGTTATTTATTTATTTTTTTAAAAAATAATTTTTAAATCTGGAATAAATAAAAGAGGTATGAATCGTAAACTACAAAATATGATATTAGAGGTTTTTAAGCTTTCTATTAGCCTTGTATCCCTTTGTGTTCCTTTCTTTGCTCATCTTCATGATCAAAAGCATCCAAGATTTTCTTGCTTGATTTTTCCTCCAGTCTATTCCCGTACAAAATATGATGAGTTTGCTCCCATCTTTTTCTCTAATTTTTCATATTTGTTTCATGTTCATCCAAGATTTCACTGTGTTTCTAATTGATATGGAGGTGAAGTATATATATATTTTTATGGAGATAAAAGTGATTCAGGTGTGTGTGGAAGAAAGATGAAGAAAATAGGACAGCCTAAAGAGAGAAAGCGCATGAGAAAGGACTCCTTTCAAAGGAGTAAAGGGAGGAGAGAGAAGGGGGGGAAATATATTTTTTTGATAAGTGACAGTTGACACAATACTGTCTGATCAAAACAGCATATATGAAGCATTGTAGCAACAAAAAGGGGAACTAACAAGGAAGCAAGATGCATTGACAGTTCATTCTAATTTACACAGGATATGTAGGTCTAAAGTAAAACATCGTTATAAGTATATAGCTCACAAGGGAATTGCCTTATCTATCAAATACACACACACATGCACATGATATATAACTAAATATTTAAAGAAGAAATTCACTGAATTTTCTCACCTTGATTCAATGAAAAAGAAACTTATCATTCTGACAAAAAGAGGCCATAGATCTTTCTTTACAGAGGAAACATCTTCTGTGGCTTCCAAAACACTGTTGTTTGAGGAACCCCTACTCGATTGTGACTTAGTCTCTAAAATAATTCTTTCAGCTGGTTTTGAAAAATTAAAGTGGACCTCGCCAGAAGGTGATTGCCAATGAGACATGTTCTGCAAAAGCACAAGAAGAAACCGAGCTGCTAAGAACCCACATTAAGAATCCACATGAATCGATTTAGAAGTGAAAAAGGGATGAGAACAACAAGTGTCAGTTTCCTACCTTTTCAAAGAGTAAAATAAGGTTATCCCAGGCATCAGGAAAAGGTTCTTTAACAGCTAGACTTCTTACACAATGATACAAGGCGATGAAATCGTCGCCAACATATGTTGCCAGTAAAGCCAACTACAAAAAAACTAGATGGTTACATATATAATCCCCAAAATTTTATAGAGGTTAAAATCATGTATTTTACTTTATTAATAGAAAAGAAAAGATTACAAGATTCAGTAACAGTGAGATCCCAACATGATCAAGATATGAAAAAGTTGGAAAATACCTGATTTTGGGGATTTCCACTATCTGGCCAAATCATTGTTGCTTCAAAGTAATAGGTGGCTGCAACAGACCATTTATGATTCTGAAAATCAGATTTCTTACAAAGTTCCCTGTATCTAGCTAGATCCCCAAGACAAACTAAAAATCGATGGCATGAATATTGACATTTGTGCAATGTTTTCAGTTCAACAGAAGATGAAAGGCCACCCTTTTCATAAAATAAAGGTTCCTCAGGAAGCCCACAGCATCTTCTGAGTTTTGCGATCAAATTCTGGTAAAATTCAGCTGCTTCTGACAGAAATGACTTAAATCCTTCTATATGAGAATCAAAACCGTTCTGTACACTAGCAACATTTTGTGGAGTTGCTGATTTTATACTATCTGTACTAGCAGAACTTTGTTGTATTCTTTTGCGAAATTCATCAATGTGCTTATAGTGAAGCTTCCACAAAGAAAATTCAACGTCTTGAAGCTTCACCACTTCATGATTATTGAGGATGATTTTCTCATAACAAGAACGGACTTTCCGGTATAAGTCTTGAACTTCTGTGTCCAACAGACCTTTGGAATGGATGTTTACCCACAACTGTCTTTCTGCATTAACAACCTGAAAGCACAAGAATTGCAACAATAACCAATTTAACTCTCATAATTAGAATATAAAAGAAATTCTGCATAAAAGTAAACACATTAATGCAAATTCAACTTCAACATAGATAACCTCAATAACAAGATTCTCTCTTTCCTTCTGATCCTTAGGGGGAACGGGTGAACCAAGATTCATGATAGCAGTGGACAAGTTTCTTCAATTGTAGTCAATCTTCTTGACATGGAGCATAATATATCTATTGCAGAATAGCTGACCTGTAGGATGTTCAATCCATCCATTAAAATTATAAAACAAGGGGAGGAATAGAATACAAATAAGAAGAGAAGATACAGATATATGAAGCCTAGATAATATATTTATGAATATTTTGGTTCATTTAAACCTCTGATCATAGACCTTTGGTCATGCAAAACAAACACAAACTTTTGAATAATATTTAATAATGAAAACAGAGATTTTTATGAGCTTATGCCTGAAGGAGGATAAGAAACTCATACTGCAAATCAATCAATATTAGAGGAAATTCTTTCTATTGATTAGATTGATGAACCTGTTAAAATTCCCGAAAAAGAAAGACTTGCTATACATTATTTGTGTTTGTGAAAAGAAAATTGTTTCCAAAATTCAAAATTAAAATAAATCATAGAAGTGAATCGAGTATCACTTTGAGATATGAGTAATCGCCCAAAATGATAACCAAAACAAAAAGGCCAAAAAAAAAAAAAAAAAGGCATTAATGCTAGCATTTCCTGAAATCATAAAAATCGCCAGAGCATAATTTGCTATAAATTGAGCTCAAATGCTAAAACAAAGGAAAGGGTGCACTCAAATGCCATGTTGAAAACAATAAAGGAGTTCATTTCTATGTAGCACATAAAAATTCTTAAATGCCATGCTTGTTTAAGACACTTTGCCAGAGGTAATACTCCTTCAGCACTCTTGAATATGTGTTCCAAAAATGATTTCAAATTTAAAACCACCCCTTCAGCACTCTTCAGCATTCAGGAATACTGTAATGTTTTGCTTTATTTTATATATATATATATATATATATATATATATATATATATATATATTAAGTGGAAAAGTTGGTGGAGCCCACTCTTATAATAAGTGACCAAGACTTTTTTTTTTCTTTCTTTCTTCATTCAGTTTTCCTCCTCTGTTCGCGACAGTTCTCTCTCTTACTGGTTCTGTTTTGTTTTTTCTTTTTCTTTTCCACATCAATTAAGCTTGATCTCTCCTTCACTACTTAGTAATTTTGAGAGTCGTTTGCGGCTATTCGAAGCCCACAACGAGATCAACACGTTGATAGGAGCAATCCCTTGATTGGTGCACTATAGGAGATTCGAAATCCTAGGGTTTGAGGTGAAGAAATTGGGGGTTTTGCTTAAAAGTGAGGTAGGGGTCTCTAATTCCTACAATCTTGTTCCTTTGTGAGTTAATTGTTCTTGATTAGTGTCCTAGCATGCTAAATTGTGATGATTGTTCCTTTGTGAATTAATTTTTTCTTGATTAGTATCCTATTAGTATTTTAGTATGCTATATTGTGATAATTGTTCCTTAAAGTGACTTGATTGTATATATGAAACATGTGAGAAAGTGTATTTAATTGAATTATAATGTGTATTTAATTGAATTGTATGAAAAAAATAATAATAATAATAAAATGAAAGAAAATAAAATAAAAACATGCTTAATGTGTTAGTTTTCTATGCCAACTAATTTGTCAGAAATTTATGTGAAAGTTTGTTAATTGTGTGTTAAAAATTCTCTCCATTTCCATATATGCACACAAGCATTGGGCATGAAAGAAAAGGGAAAGTGTTTTGAAATGAAATTAAAAGGGGATTTTGGGGAGAATTTGATGAAACGGTTTTTGAGAAAAACTCGATCGCCGCGGAGTCACCAAAGGGCCGGTGTGTTAATATAGCCTAGAGGGAACTAGGGAGATTGCCCTAGCGTGGTTGAGCTATCTGGGCCCCAAATGACACTGTGGAGGTACCAAAGGTCAGGGACAGTAGCCAATCCTTCTCTCGTGTCGCTGCGGAGTCACCAAAGGGCGGGTTATATTAAAAGTTTGTGAAGTGATGATGTTTTCTGAAAATGGGGAGTGACATGCATAACATTGCATTCATGGCACGAAATTTTTTTGCTTTGAACTTAGAATTGATATTGTGTTTTCCCGGCTTTGCATGATCCCAAATTCCTATTGTCCTATTCCTTGTTTGGATTCACGGGGACACAAGAGGTGTGTCTTAGGCACCACCTACTGAGCAATTTTGCTCACCCCTTTCATTTAACATTTTTTTTTTCAGGAAACGGGAAAGAAGTGGCGAATGACATTCTACCACCGACTTAGTATGGATTAGGAGCTTCTTTTGTTGTTTTTGTACTTAGGTCTCACTATTTTTGTAAGACTAAGCATAATGTATTTTGTACGACGATTTATGGACTTTTCATATTTTAATTACACCTATGGGCTGTAACTTTTGTATAATCTGTCTAAATGTTGCAAAATATGGACATTTGATATTAATCTTGTAATTTGGGACTGTAAATATGATATTTGGATGATATAGTAAGTGGTTGTACCACCATGGAGTGTATTATATGATATTTGTATTGAGACAGGTTAAAAATGCATTTAAACAGGTTGTTGTAGGACGATTTTTAGCGGAGGTCATGCCGAATTTTTTTTAAAAATTTTGGCATCATATAGGGTCGTTACAAATACGATGCAAATTTGTAAATGTTGAAAATGAATACAATTTAGAATTAGTAGTATGCATTTTGTAATTATAAAATGATAATTGTTGAACATCTACATAGTTTTTGCAATCATAAATAAATATAAAAATGTGCATTTGCATATTGTTCTGCCTGTGTCCTACATTTTAGAATCTGCCACATTGGCTCGTTGTTATCATGCTAACCATGTCCCGTATCTTGTGTCGATGTCTATGCCACATAGCTTCATTCCTAAGGAGTTTCTTAATGACCTAAGAAATAAGAATCTGACGAGTTCTTAGCAAATGCTGCCCTAAGTACATGGAAAATTCCCTATGAACAGTGTTGATCAGTTGGGCACTTTCATTGGGTTAGAACATCCAAAAGGGATGGTGTAGAAGGTTCAATTGTAAAGAAAATCTCTAGTCAACTCTGTAACCTATCCAAGCTATAGAAATGGCATAGACTTGCAAAAATACAAAAATTTCCAAATATATAGCCCTTCAGCTTAGTAAACTCTCTGTAGAAATGGCCTCAACTTGCAAGAATAAACAAAATTTCAATTACAACCTGGAAAGTCATATATCTCTAGAGTGAATGAAAAATTAAATCCAAAAACTTAACTTATATGACATTTTTAAATCACCATATTTTTGTTCACAAGCAGATATTAAACAAATTTAAGATTGACATCCATCATGAGTGGGTTGACTAGTGCATCAACAAAATAATTTTAAGGGAGTGAGATTTGAACCCTGTTCTAAAATCTATTCCAAAAAATAATAAGAAAAATTTATATATATATATATAAACTCATCTCCATAGAGGGTGCAACTTAAATACTTATATCTCTAACAATTGTAAAAACGGATAAAATGAACAAAAACTACATTTTAGGAAACTCTTAGTCCTTAAGATGATAATGATTTATCTTTAAAAAATCATAACCAAGGAGTCTGAAACAAGCACTACACTAGTAAACAATTCACCAAAGATAGAGAATTCAGTCAATCAAGCATACAATAACAATTATTACTATCCAAATATCAAAATAAAAAGATAATTAGAAGATAACTACATATTAAAATATATAAAAATTAAAATAAAATATACTCCGTAAATAAATAAATAAACAAAACAGAGAAACCCATAAAAATTGAGAGGCGGACCTTTAAAAATGGACAAAGCAAAGTCACTCGGACAGAGAAAAACCACAAAAAAGCTGAAATTCCAAACACAAACATCAAATTACACATAAATGAAAGTCACTTTATTACGAAGAGAAAATTGAATCCGATCAAGAAGCTAAAACAGTACCTGAAGAGCATACAACTAACGATCAACAACAAACATCCATCAAGCTGCAGAATTAACTGAGGAAGTACAAATAAGCTCTCAGCTAGCGAAGAACGAAGATACACATGTATAGAGAGAGAAAGTGAGAGAGAGAAGCGCGGGGAAGGGAAGCTGCAACAAGTGAAGAAACAATAACAGGTTCAGGACACCTGTTGTGAAACCGACAAAGCAAAAGGTGGCTGGAATTGATAAAACTATATTTGAAAAGACCATTTTATCCTCCTTTTTTCCAATTCTCTCTCTTAGAAAAAACAATTTTAAAATGAGGAATAGATTAAAGTGGACATATCTTATCATCGTCTGCGTCGCTTTATTTGACTAAAATTAGGATGTCCCTTGCAATTCAAGCTAAACCAATAGAACAGATACACTGTTTTTGATTTTTAGAAGTCATTTAAAATTTTACTAACCTATTAGCAGACTAGTCGTGATAGTCATCAAGTTCCATACAATATAATCTATACATAGTTCACTGCCATATAAACATATGCAATTATACAAATATGTATTGTGAGGCGTGTAATACAATATATATAGAATCTGAGCTCCACCATTAATTATAATTAAGGGGCCTTGTGTGGTAGGGGTGCTGCATTTAGTAGTCGTGTGTATATATGTAGTGAGTGTTGGCAAAAATAATAAATAAATAAATAAAATAATAATAATAGTATATGTAGTACATAAGTGGAATTAATGGGGGTTGGTGGAATTTTATTACTACATTTTTAGGGCTAAAACAGTCATTAAAATTTTATTGATTGTAGCCAACGGAAGCTTCTATAGAGAATATGGCATACACAGATATACACGGTAGACCACAATTCGGGTCCCACTAACACAACATCTTTTTTGTTGATGATCAAGATCATAGCCGTCAATCTGATAACCTTTTCTCATTCATTATAATATTAATGAATGATTGAAGAAGATTAAATAATAGCTACGATTGGACATGGGTCTACGGGGTTGTTGTTAGGTTGGTGGTTTGGTCCAATTAGAATTACAAAGTAGGATTTGTTCAAAGCTCATTAATTGCGAGGTTTGAATTGAGCATGGTCCGTCAATTTGTGCAATTATATGGAGTCTGTCACACAGCCGTTAAAATTTATGTTTTCTGCCATTGGAACACGAAGTAATGAAGAAATCAAAGAGATGGTGGTGATCGTATGGTCAAGAGACAGAGAGTCCACCTGTTCAATCATGGGGATGCTCTATCATAGGTCTTCCTAGTAAATGAATTGGTCTATTATTTGGGTTGGTGTTGTGACGTTAAAGATATATTCTAATATTTTCAGGTTGACAGATGTAAGTATGTCACTGTGTAATTGACACCTTTGGGGTCCAACTCATTCATTTAGAGTTATTAATAGATAGATATAGATATATATATATATATATATATAGATAAACATTTTCCATTTAAGAATCCAATGCCTCCATGGATGCAGAAACATAAAGTCTTAAATAAGACAATTTTGTGCAACTTCTTTCTTAATTAAGTGGTCCAAGGGAGTGTTAGGAGATAAGGTTTCAATCTCATTGGGTGATTGCTGCATGTATAGAAGTTAGACACGGTGGCACTTTCTGTATAAAACAAAAATCCAGTGGGAACAGCATTCCCACTAAACCGTTAATGAATCCGTGCTTGATTGGTTGATTATGGATGTTCTCACAAACCTAACATTGTTGGAAGATATATTCTTCTAACAAATTTTTTGTTTGTTTGTTTGTTTAAAAATATTTACATAAAATATATTACATATTTAATGACTAAATGTTAAAGTCATGACGGTTACTCAATCTAGATAAAATTTAGAATAATTATATGTACATAATATTCAAAATCGTATTGCCATCATTATTTATATTGTTAAGTAATATAGAAAAATGATTTAGAATCTTATAATTGGACAAATTTCACGTCAATTAAAATCTTACGGTCGAACAATTTTGACTTGATGTGAGTAAATTATTCCGGATTTCAACCTTTATTCACATTATCTAACTCCTTGTCATTACTCAATAGTATATAAAGGTGCAAAAGTAATTAGTACAATTATTGAAAGTGCTAACTAGTGATGGCTTTAGTACTAGTGGCACTCTTTTATTAGAAAGAAGAAATACAGAGTCGAGGATCAATTAGTTGAGGCCAACCCAGTAGACCAAAACTTAGTGTTGTGGGCGTAAGAAATGGGCAAACAATCCAAACCAAAAATTGGAACCGTCACAAATTTGGATGTCTTAGTTTGGAAATGGGCTGACCCAATTTATTCCCAGCCCAAATTCCCTCAGGAAGGCCAGTTGGCCCTTACATTCCTTTCGATGCGTTCCTTAAAACGGGTCCTTGCAAATTTATCCAAAATACTTTACAATTGATTATTGTATACGTTACCCCTATATACATAAAACAGTTTATGAGACCAGTCCCTATCATTCTTTTCTATTTTATATAGCATGTTCTCTCTTAAGTTTTGATTTTTCAAGTTATTTTTAATTACTTCACAGTTTTGGTCCGGTTTTTTGTGGCTTACTTTTTACATAAACAACTATTCCTCTTTTTACAGGGGTATCATTACACAGCTACGTTGAATAATGATTATCCTACCTAAATTTATTTTCTTTAATTTTATCATTTATAGAACATATACCTAGTATTAACTTCACACATACTATGCATGGTATTTATCTTATCTTTTTTATTGTTACATTCTCATTCTCATGCTTACATATTTTTCTCAGTTCATCCTATATATATATATATATTATAGTTTAATATTGCAATAATTTAATATAATGATTTGAGGTTTGAGAGTTGGATAATTCTTATCGATTTACACGAGTGAAGCTGACATCATTATGATGATATTATTAATATTTTAGATATCTTCGTGACATTAACTTTACTCATATAAAATTAGTTGAAAATGTACTCATTATTACTCTTTGTGAAAATGATAATTAAATTGGAAGCCTAGTGAAAATGTTAATTAATTTGGAAGTCGCATACTTGGTGCAATTCTATTGATCTGAATCCCACCAAGGAACCGGATGTCGGCGGCAAGGCATACTCATGCTAATAATGGTAAGCCGTCCTACGGATCCAGTCCTCTAGCGTGGACGTCGGAATTAAGACTCAGAACCACGGAGACAATGTACACCAATCACACACTTAATTTAACAACCTCCATAACTTAAAACTCAAACTGCCATGTATCGAGAAACAAGGAGCAACAAAAGGATAAAAACCCCAAAAAAGGTCATCTCACATAAAGTCCTACCATCCAATTTGTTGCATTTTCACCCTTTTTTTTGTCCATCCAAGACCCTCACCACCACCAATCCTTTTACTTGTGTTCTAAATTCAACTCCTCTTTCCCTGCTTTAACATAAGGGCAGAAAAACCAGGTTACATCCAAACCCTCTATTTCTCTCTCTTCCTTTCTCCTGATCGAGTTGTTTCACAATGAGTTTTCGGCCTTGGTTGATCCTCCTCCTGCTGGCCACGGCCACCACCATGTCCATGTCCATGTCCATGTCCGAGTCATCGTTTAGGTTCAATGACGCCAACTTTGACCTGGAAACACTCAATTCTCTGGGTGTTAAGGCCTGTATTAATGGTCGAGTAGGTGATTGTATCGACAAAGCTGAAGAGCTGTTGATGGATTCAGAGAGTAGCCGAAGACTCCTTGCAGGAGGCCCAGGTTACATTAGCTATGATGCCCTTAAGGCCAACAATGTTCCGTGCGACAAACGTGGGCCGTCTTACTATAACTGCAACCAGCAAGGACCTGTTAATCCTTACAATCGAGGTTGCAGTGTCATTTCAAAGTGTGCTAGGTACACCAATTAATGATCTTTTTTAATTTTTTATGTATCATGATCAAACAAGTTCAAAGAAGAGAGAGAAAAAAAAAAAATAAAAAAAAATGCCGTGTCTACGTATATATGGATGAATGCAGACCTTTGGGTGCTGATCATGGTTGCCACTTGTTCATCCTCTTGATCCTCATATAAATATGGTATAACCATAATATATATATATATCTGGTATTTATTTTGAGGTTGTGTGTCCGTTGGGGATATAATAAAAGTATAGTTATTATGAGTCTTATATTAGGGTTTTCATTTTTTCCGCAATTTTGTCTTGTGTTTTCAGCTTTGTCTGTCATAGTAGAATGTTGCAGATATTGTTTTGCTATTGTATTAATATATGTCCACTCCTTGTTGGGTTCTTATTCCTTCTCGATCGCTTGTTTTCAGTCATAACTTTTTGAGAGGCCAGAAAGAGAAAATTGAAAGAAATGTGCATCGATCAATTGCTTCATGTTTCTCTTTGTTGCGGTGATGATTTTCTTGTGTAATTTTATCTTTTTGCACGGCACACTCCTGCATGTGGATATTAATTATTCAGCCACTTTTGGGTGGAGATTACATTGAGAGATTATTCATAATTGCCGGTACACACGGACAAAGGTAATATTTTAAGAAGAGCAAAGGTAATATTTTTAAAATATCATAATGACAAAATAATATCAAAGGTAAGGGGGATAATACTAAATTTTTAAAATAATTTCAAGAAGAGCAAAGGTAATATTTTATATGTATCATAATGACAAAATAATAGGCTAAAATAGTATAAAAAAAGAAAATTTCAAAGGGGTACCCGTGGATGAGTAGACTATATGCATCCCCGTTTGGTAAAAGTAGAATCCATTGGAATTTGGACTGTGCATTTAAAATAATTTGCGGAAAAATATTCTTACAAGAAAAAGTTATTTTAAGTGTGGCTGCTGGGATTCGAGCCCAGGTCTCCACGGCCACAACGTGGAATTCTTACCACTAAACTACAGCCACAAGGTTGTTACCTTCATAATTTTCAAGTTAATAGCGGTATAAAAATGATTCTGTTTGCAATATATTTTCCTTTGATTTAAGTTTTGGTTTCTATTTTGATTCATAATATAAAATAGAATCCGATCAAGAAAATCCAATATGAAAAGATTTTATCATCAATATATGTTTTTAATCAAAACACACCCAATGTCTACAACAAAGGTTCATTCAGACTTAGGTTGATGTCCATCTTCAAATATCTTGATTCAGTTTTTCTGGCGCAACGAAGAATTCAATAATTGTTAATGGGATGGGTTAATATTTCTTTGAGTAATAATAATTTTTATTTTTTTGGACTAGGCTAAATTTAGGAATAGTAAAAAATAAAAAAAATTAAATTTTTTTTTGGGGGTGCTGGAGCCACCCAAGCCTACCCCTGAGTCCGCCATTGCTCAATTTATTTCTATTTAATCCTGATTTGACTTCAAAATTAAATTTTAAGACTTAATCACATGTCCCCTTTTAACTCTAGTCTTGAGTCTCAGCTCGGGTTCGGGTTGTTCAGCCCAAATTACACCAACAATTAGCGAATGAAGAATGTATGAACTTATAAATTGGGAAATGAAGGATGGCCAAATTAAATAGTGAACATGAAAATTTTCAACATTAAAATGAATGGATCCACCAACTACAGGCTTGAAAAGTCAAAAAACCATACCCACATAATAAACCAACAAATAAACAAACAACAAGACAACCCAACAAAAACATTAGAGGCCATCCCCACCACCATGTTTACTGGCTTTTCCATTTCAATCAAACCCTCTCTGGCTCTCTTCTTTATCTTTTCTATCATCATCACAAGTTCCACTTATTTTCCACCTTCGTTTCCTCACGTCTCTATCCATTAGGTTTTGGGGGTCTTCTAAGTCAAAAAGTGACTTTTTATTTTTATTTTTATTATTATTATTTTTTCCCTGGCAAAAGAAGTCAAAAAGGGGCTTGAGAGTAAGTTACATTTAGGTAAAGAAGAATTTACCTTTGCATTTTCCCCACCCAAAATCAATAAAGTAATGATCTCATGAAGAAACTTTTCCCCCACATATGTGGGTCCCTAAATTTATAGGTCTAATTATTTAAAATATTTAATGTGGCTTAAATTGTTTCAATTTGGTCATGTTTACCACTAAGCCACTAAAGTTGTTAAAGCGGATTCAATTTAGTTGCAGTTCATTAATACTATAATAAAAAAAATTTGATACTCTCTCCAATAATTGGAAGGAGATGCCGGAATGAGCCGGATGCTTAGGATGTGAGTGGGGCGTGAGTTCTAGTATCATATAACATCCCCTGGTATTATATGACGGGATTCATGCACCCACTCATATGATCTTCATTTCACATCGTCTGAATTTGAAAAATTAATTATTATTTAACAAAACAATCACTTTGAAATAGTGTTGTATCAGTATGGTATATACTGGGTTTGGCTCTAATACGTAACGGGTAAATGCTTACCTATTTATCCAAAAATTCAAGTTATTAGGTAATGTTACATACGTACCCATTTATACCCAATCACTTTCTCATTCAACGTGGAACAAATGATTCTTATTACGTACATCTATCTGGTCGGTCCAAAAAAATGAAAATTCCAGTACTTATGAAATATGACTATAGCACATCCACAATTACTTACAATATGGAATTAATCAAAATAATGGTACGGTACCTTAGACGACAACGTGACATGTATGTATGTATAGTGGTAATGTTAACGTGGTATTTTAAAAAAAAAAAAAAAAAAAAACATCATCATCTTAATTAATGTTTCTAGTTTTACACAAGCACACCCTGGCATCATTTCCGCTATTTAAGGACAATAAAAAGGTCAAAAGACTGGAGATTCCTTGTCTATTCGTCCACTCTTTCCTTGACAGCTAATCCCATTTGCAAAAACACTAGTGATCACTCCTTTCCTCCATATTCATTCATCACCACTTCTCTCAATTAATTTTAATATCTTAAAAAGTACAAAAAATTTGAATTGCTTCTCATTATTCTAGTGAGAAAGTATGTTTAAGCTATTCTCCAACACAAGCACATAATTTAGAAAAACGAAAACCAGGAGATATACAATTAAAACAACGATTCTAACGAAAATACCCCATTTCAAATTTAACAATATTTGGCTCATTAAACCCCAAATTTATATATAAAAGAGGTATTATTTTACAATAATAATAAAACTCATTCAAGTGGAAGAAGAACCTGAAATTCGGGGCGATGTGACCGGAAACAAAGGCAATAGTCGGGGCGCCGATTCTCCTCTTGGGGTATTCGCGGGTGATGGATGAAAATAAAATCCCTTTTTCGCAATCGCTTTATCTTCAGCTACGATATCCATATTTGTAGTGACAGAATGGATCGGAGATCTATTAAACGGGTCGGGTATTAACGGAGTCACCGGGCTGAGAGTGAGCGACGGAAAGTCAAGCAAGCTCGGCGACAAGATCTCCGACGTGGTTAGATTTCGGGGCGAAAATCCGGAATTGTGGACGAGACCCGGGACTAATGGACTGATCTTGAAGTTCTTGAGGCTGTTCCTTCGCTCGTATAGCTTGGAAGCTCGCTCTTTCTTGGGGCAAGTCTTTATGGGTGGGATCGGATTCTTCGGTGGATCGGATTTGGCTGCGGCAGCGGACTTCGCGGTTTCGGAGGATCCGGTGAGCATTTGTACTACTTGTTTGAAGGAGGAGGTGTCTGCCTGGACGAAAGTTGTTGGGTACGGGCTATTTGGTTCGGATCTGGTGATGGGTCTAGGTGTAGTTGGTGGTGGTGGTAATGGGTTGAGTCCATTGCTGCTGCTACTGCTTGTACTATTAGTGCTATGGCTGTTTGGGGATGGTATCACAGATGGGTTCCGATTTTCTTGTTCCATTGATGGATCTGCTACTAGAGAGAGAGAAGGTGTGACTTTGTAGAGAGAGAGACTAAGAGGGAAGAACAAACTTCGATGACTAGATGAGATGAGATATTGGAATTTTAAATTTTGGACACACTGTTACTTTGTTCTGGTTTGGTAAGAATTAAGAAGTGTTTTTTGATGACTTCTGGGTGTTTCATTCTAGAAATACACGCTCTTTTGAACAATTGAGTTTGACGCGCGGGGATGTTGGTATACATATATATATATATATATAAATATAAAAGTGGCCAGCCACCGATTAAATTTCACAAAAATAAACATTTTAATTTTTAGTTGAACTCACATTTTTAAGACTTGATTAGTGTTTACTCACTTTTCAAAAATTATTTTTTAATTGTGTCACAACACTTTTATATTATCATTTTACTTTATTTTATGTATAAAATGACTTAGCGAGAGACCCATTTTTTTATGACCAAAGTGTTCTAAATTTTTTTTTTTTTTTTGGCAAGTTCTAAATTTAACCCACCCTTCTTTTCAACAAATTTTGCGCACTCTCTAATTTATCACTCGTCAATCAAACCCGCCACTAGAAGCAACTAAAAAAAAGAACAATGAGGGTAATTTGATTGATGCAATCCCACAATCTTCAAGTTTTTCTGGTGCAAGAGGTTGTTGGCAAGGTACATCCGGCTACACTCACCTAGCATCAAACCCATATCGACACTTTGCAGTTGTATCGAACAGAACCAAAGCCAAGTCTCTCAGCACCATGAAACCAATTGATCCAAAGAAGACCGTGGCTGTGTATGTGGGTCAGAAAGACAATGACTTTCATAGGTTTTTGGTGCTGGTGATTTACTTTAGTCACCCACTTTTGGGCAGTTGTAGAGGGAGGTTAAGGATGAGTATGAGTTTAATCACCCAGGTGGGATTATTATCTCTTGTCGAATTTCCGAGTTCTAGAGCTTTCAAACCCAGATCATTACTGGTCACGCTAGTTACTGACGAGGAATATGGGGTGGTGGTGATGGCACCACCGATTGTGATGGTTTTATTATTTGAAATACACAATTACGGTGGTGTTGGTGCCACCGATTGTGGTGGTCGTGCCTTCAAGTTTACATGTGGTGGTTATTGATGTGGAGATGGTGGTGGTTCGTGACCGGATTACAATGGTGATGGCGGTGGTTATGGGGCGAGAATAGTGGTGGTAGCAGTACCGATCGTGCTTTGCATCAGTGTCGACGATTACGGCGGTGCTACGGGCAGGTGACCTGGTATTTCTGTCTTTTAGGTTTTTTAATATTTTGTATTAAAAAAATATATGTAAATGATTCAATTCGCATTTGTCAAATTTCAAAAAAATAATTTGAAATATAATTAAAAATTAAAATAAAAATCAAAATGGCCATCTATTTAAAATTTGACCTAACATAAAAAGATGTTGTGTAGTCTTATTTGCTTAAGTACTTTTGAGCATTCAAATCCAAGTGATCATAAAATAATTTTGCCCTGACAAAACCTTATAACACCATGCCATTTGTTGGAGAGTGAAGACACGCGTTGGAGATGAGGGTGGCTGCGAGTAACACAAAGAGCCACAGCTGGTAAAAGGCCAATGGTGGTGTTTGGAATTTCAGACTAAAGATGAGTGGGCTGTGAGAGAGAGAGAGAGAGAGAGGGAGGGAGAGAAATTTCCAAATAAGATTCAACATTTGCCATTGACTTAAGAGGAACCTTGAATGGTAATAACACACATGTGGTCCTGTTTGGAGATGTGATCACTAATAACAACAATTCAAAATCAAAGATTGGACAATGTCTGATGTAGATGTTTACACTTTCCTGGATCCAACCTGCTTTGACATTATTACAGGATTGCCATTTTATATGCGTTGTACTTCTAAAGTTGCCCCTCTTAATGGGGTGTATCTCCTTTGGTATTTTTATGTGCATATTGTATCTACATGGTGTTTGTCATGTACAGTTTCTCAAATACACTCGCAGATCTTATGGTTTTCCATGCCCTAAGATTCATGATGATGTGGGTTATACAATGTTGGACGCTCAAAAATTTGACACGTATCTAATATGTCATTTTCTATAATTACTTTTTTGAGTAATGCTCCATGACTCTCTCTGCATATATTTTCGCTTATCATTTTATGTACAAAATATTACGGCATGAATCTAACCGTTTAAAAATAAATTACTCCATATATGAGGATTATAGTAAAAAATTCATATAAAATTTTATTTACAATAAATCATACGAATTAGTCAAAGATTTGCGAACTCTTTCTTTTGATTAAATTGTATTATTAACTTTGACTGTCTTGTATAATTTTATTCTATAATCTTTTGAACTAATTTTTTTTATAATGACATCACTTTAATATTGGTCATGTTATGATATATATATATATATATATATATATATTTAGATTTAATCTATACCTCTAGTCAATTTTATCTTCTTCTTTTTTTCCTTTTCTTTTTTGTTTTGTTAATTTCAAAATAATTTCTCAGCCTTTCTTGTACTTGAAAAGATGAGAATTCCAATATTGTTACTCCCTATCATTTTCCCAAAGTCAGATTGATTGATGCCCAAATAGAAATTGATACTCATTTCCAGGATCTGAAGCTGCATAGTAGGAAAAAGGTGAAAAGGAGAGGTGAATCAAATTCTCATTTATGGAGCCTGATCAAAACAAATGCCCGTAAAAAGTTGAAGGGACCATACACACACATATAAATCTGATAGAGTGAGACTTTGCAATATTTTTTTTGCTAGGAATATGGTAGAGGTACCAGTAGGGGATGTTTATAGTGCCCACATGCAATGGGTTTTGTTTTGGTAACATGAAATTCACTCTGTTATAATTTCTTAAAATGGATGGACAACATCAAACAGATACCTTATGATCAAAGATGAATCATGGAGTAGAAAAAATGTATAACTTAAAGAGTGAATTTGTGGATATAAATAATGTGTACTCACATGGCTTAATCTTTCATGTAGCAGAGGTCCACAGATGTGTACTAGTCATTCTTCATATTAATTATCTGATCAATTTGTTGAAATTAAAAATGGGATTATTATTATTATTTTTCATAGTTTTTTTTCTTTTCTTTTCTTTTTTTGCCACTTTTTCCACCTGTCATCTTTTGCATCTGATTGTACTATCGGAGCTAAAAACAATGTTCACAGAGCCTTGCACATGCGGACTAAAATTCTCTCAGGTAAAATAGTGTCTAATTTTCTTTGGCTAGTGATCAATGTTAAAAAAATATTATAATGTTAGTCTTATATCACAATATTTGCGTAATATGCATCACACTATTATTTACTTGTCATTAATAATTTTTTAAAGGGTCAAAATCATAAAACTCTTTTTAATACAAAATTTATGTATATAACCTCTCTTGTACTAAGTAATTTCCATTTAACCTCTTTTAACTTTTTTCAAAAATCATCAATTTATATATTATTCCCTTTAGTTAGTTTGCCAAAAAGAGGTACGTGAGTGTCATGTGTTCCACTTGCTCTCCATATAATTAAAATGTCCATAATGATCACTTTTGTCATTTTCAGTCATTAATTAAAATTAAAATTAGGTCAATTCAAGCATACTTTCTTGCCTAAAACTCTTAAGAATTTAAGAGATAAAATTAGAAGAAGAAGTTTATTAGAAGAAGAAGTTGTATTCAAAATTGTTTGTCATCTTAAGCCCTTATTTATAGAATACAAACGTTAGGTGAGTTTTTCTAAGACTCATCACTCTAGTGCAAAATCTTACACCTAATGGGCCGTCTGGCCCTTCTCTTTCATTTGTTTGTATAGCTATCCCGTCAGTATAGGTGGGGTCTTTCTGTTAATGGGTCAATAGGTTCATTCTCAATTGAGCCCAATTCTCTATTCTTCTTTTGCGTCCTTAATCTTGCTGTGATTGGGGCTTTCTTCCTCTTGTGTCCCGTTTTAATTGGTGATTATTTTTGTTTTTTTTTTTTTTATATACTCTTTCTGTCTCATAATAATTAATTATGAGTCATAATTTTCAAGGGACGCAATTGTTATGAAATAGTAGTCAATTTTATTATTTTACAACTTAATTAACACATTCATTTCGAAATACAATAAAATGATCACTTTTGTTAGTATGGGAGGTAACTTGATACCACAGAAACTGTATGATTATTTAAAATAGTGCAGAGGTTATGATTTAACCCCTTCTAAAAATTATAAAAAATGCTATAGGTTGGGAACTGGGAGAAAGTATCAGTGGGCCTGTCCTGCTATTGGTTTTTGTTTTAAAAATATTGTAGACCCAAGCCTAATGGATTCGCTACAATTTTGGGCTAAACAATGGAGGATGCTACAGAGTTGCTTTATGTGTTGTCCTCGTCGGGTAGATATTTGATGTGCCATGCGCGATATGTTATTACAGTAGTGAGTCAATAATAAAGTGTTACTAAGAAATTGGTGCAGTACTTATAAAATTACTGATAATGTGTTGTATTTTATTAAATTGGTACACTAATAACATGGTACGTCTGACACATTGAATATCTACTCCCTGATTGGATCATAACTAAGGGGTTCTTGTATATCAAATGGTAACAATCTTGAGCCAAAATTTGGGAGGCTGCGCGAGGTTCAGGTTGAAGTAATTTTAAATAATAATAATAATAATAATAATAATTATAAATAATTTTAAATAAAACTAAAATGCTTTATATACTATCCCAAGACTACAAGAAGACTTGCATCTTTTTCAACTAAGGTAATTGGTGTTGATCATATATTTTTTTTCTTACGCAAATCTAAGAGAGTTTACTAGTGGCCGGGTTCAATTCTTTTTGCCCTTTTGTTTTGGTAAAGAACCATATTGTAATTGAAAAGATTAAAGATAGAGAATTTACATGCCTGACCCTATTTATAGTGAAATTAAAACAAGAATGGTAAGATGATGGTGAAGTATAATGTTATATAGAAAGAATGGGTTTTGTTGCAGTACTCTGATAATATTCCAAAACTTTGTTAATTTTTTCTTCTTTGTTAATTTTAAACTAAGCTCAAACTAGAGTTTGTTTGGAATTTCATTGCTTCTGAATACGTGGGGAAGGTACTTTCTCCCTCACTACTAGACCCGTCAATGGATCGGATTCGGATCGGATCGATCAAATCCATATCTTATTTGTTAAGCAAACGGATTATCGGATTCGGATCACTAACGGATTCTTGGACTGAATGTCCCAATCCATATCCTATTTAGCTCGGACTCGGATAGGATTGGATTCGAAATCGAATTAAATTAATATTTACTAATATATATAATTATAAAGAGTATGATTTTATTAGTATGTGTACTAAGAGATTTATTAGCATATGGACGAGAACACCACAATATTTATATATAACATTGTTATTATTTTGGATTTTTGAGTTGCCTCTAATATAATTCTAATAGGAGTATTGATATATATATGTGTAAAATTATTGATAAATAATTTTATATATAATTTCAATCAGATCGGATCAAATTTTTATCGGATCGGATTAGCATAATCCATATCCGATTTGTTAAGTTAAGAGATTATCTGATTCGTATCGTAACCGAATTATTGAATTTTTTGTTCAATCCATATCCGATTAATCGGATCAAAATTCGAATCGGATCCGAATCAAGATCCACTCCATTAACAGGTCTACTCACTATCTACACCAGTACTTTTGAGTATTTGTCCACAACCTACTGTTCATGATATTGGGAACTTTTAGTACACAATAGTTAATTGTTTATGCGCTATTGACATCTAGTTCTAATAAAGAAAGCTCATAGTTATGACCTCATTGTAACATTTTTAACATTAAATTAAAATAACATTATTTTGTCTTTTTATCTTTATGTTCACAAATCTCCATAAACAAAAGCAATAATAATAATAATAAATAAAATTATATTAGAAAACTCAAGTAGTCAAAGTGAAAAAACTAAACCCACCCCCATCCATAAATACAGAGTAACACCAAACTAATTGCTTCCTTTTGCTAATCATTTTTCTTACTAAATTCCAAATCACAATCACATGTGCAATTTCAAAGTAGATAATGCTTATCTGCATGGGACAAAGGTTTAGAGAAAAAGTAAAATCAATAGCTCCATCTCCCCAAAATTCAAAATACTAATACTTGATTTGAGAGAGATCCTTTTTCATTTCATTTCTTTTGTCTTATTTTATTTCTTGATAATCCAAAATTCAATGTACTGCATGGGGAGAAGTGAAAAAGCAGAGGTTTCCGGACATCTCAATGAGAAAAGGCTGCAAGTATGTCTGCCATAAGCAATGGCAGTGACATCCATGACCGTTCAATCTTACATCAATATAGGGATAGGGTAGTACTACTAAATTACTAGGAGTAATAAATGATAATTCACAAGCAAATTCAAATTTATTCCTTATCAACCTCTATAGCCATAGATATATATATATATATATCACTCCAACACACAGTACAAAGTACTCACAAACCCGTCATACCTAGTTACTCCATTAACATGATGGAAAATACACTTACAAAACCATTAAAAGTGCATGAACACACACATATCAAGGTGTACATTTGGTTTTGCCTGAGGATTCGAAGGCAAAAGGCCCAACCGAGAAGAGTTGAAATGGGAGTGGCTGTGTGGGTGGGGGAGGTGGTTGCTTATGGGGCATCAAAACGGCACCGTTCAGTCCACCATGAAGGTTTGTTGGCTTGTTGCATGTAGCCATTGGTGATGAGACTATGAAGACCTTGCACTTGTGGAACGCATAGGTGGTTACCTTCTTCGGTGACAACATAAAGTAACCATTCTTGTCTGTTTTAGCTTCTTGGACTAGTGGGTACTTTGTGTTATTGCACTGTAGTTTTACAACAGCACCTACAAAAAAACAAAAAAGAAAACAGCAACATGGTTTGTCTTAGAGATCTATGTACGAAATCAAACTACCAAAATATATATTCAAATATATATATACAACGGTAACATTGTTTCACGGTTTCAAAACAAGAAAACAGCAACAGTCTATGTACATGCAGAGGAAATGATAAACTTACCAAGAAGTGGTGAAGCTCCCAAAAGGGTTTCAACCCCAGTGTACTTGCACGGCTTGCAATAAACAACGCCTTGCACAGCCATTAAATTCCTAGTAGGTAAATGATGAGTCGGTGGGTGACTCGGAGGGCTGATTGGAGTGTGAACCGGTGGATGACGGGGATGGGTCATTGGAGGGTGAGATGGAGACTGAGTCGGTGGGTGAGTGGGAGGCTGACTCGGTGGGTGACCCTTGTGGTGATGGTGGTGAGTTGGAGGGGTCATTGGGGTGTGAACCGGTGAATGAGTCGGTGGATGAGTGGGAGGCTGACTCGGTGGGTGAGCCTTGTGGTGGTGGTGACCCGGATGATGACCCTTAGGGTGTTTAGGGGATTCAACCGGAGGGTAACTCGGAGCATGATGAAGAGGTGACTGTGCCAAACTCACTGTGTCAAGCTCATCACCAGAGACATTTAAGCAGCTCAATAATACCACTGAGACCTGTACAAGAAGGAGGGTTTTGGCCTCAACAAACACCATGCTTCGAGATAGTGAGAGTGAGAGTGAGAGATGGTGACAAGGTATCCAAAGGAGTGGATTTTATAGGGCATTAAAGTTGAAAGGGTGGGGTCTACTTTGATTCCATGGCCTAGGGTATCCTAGGCTTTGTAATATGACCGTTGGAGAGAGAGTTGAGGTGGTCAAAAGAAAGAACGGGAAAATTAACCTTCTGTTTTAGAGTGGTTTATCACAACCTTGGGATTGTGCATTTTTTGTTTTTTTGTGCACATCTTTCTCTTATTTGGAGGTTCGGAATTGCAGCCTCCAAATCACATTCTTGTGTATGAGTTGAGAGGAGTGCTATTTCGGCATGGCATTATCAAAATCATGGTGTCGCACTCCTTGTTTGTTTTTTTTTTTTTTTTTTTTTTTTTGGTTGAAGCCACAGCAGTCTAAATAAACTATTTCAAAAACTTTTATTAACCTCTTCAATTTATTTTAAAAAATTAATCTGCCTACGCTTATTCAATAAGTTACATTGTGGTCTCGTTCAGATGATTTGTATAAGATTCATTGGATTGCTTGGGACAAGTTAGTGAAGTCCCAAAAAAAAAAAAAACAAAAGAAAAAAAAGTAAGAGTTTCGAGATTTGAAAACTTTTAATTTAACAATTTAGCTTTCCTTACTTAAATTAGGTTGGCGATTGTAGGCAGAAAGACTTAGTGTATTTTATGAGTTACTTAAGGAAAATATTTTTCATTTTCTGACTTTATGCATGCGAAAAAAGCTCATAATCAATCATGGTAGTGGTGGAGTATGTTTGCATGTAGAAGTATTTTATTTATTTTTTAAAATTGGTACTTACATATACATGTTTTTACTGAAACTTGAATCCTTGATTTTCATTTAAAAAGTACTTATAATCAATGGTTAAAAGCTAACGTTGATGCAACAGTTAACACATTCTCTAATAAAATTGCTGGTGGTCTCGTGATTAGAGACTACAAAGGGTGGGTGATTTTTGTTGCTATATTCCACTCAAAGTTTTTATGCGATCCTACAGTTGGGGAACATTTGTTCTGAGGCAAGTAATGCTCGAGGTGAGGGAGTGATTGTTGCAGCAAGTTGTTTTCGAGTCCGCTGCTAAACCAGTGGTGGACATGGTTATTGGGATTCAGGCATGTCCAACTGCTTTGGTGCAGTTGGTTGAGGCTGTTCAAATGTGGCCGAAGACTTAATGGTTATCTGTTATGTTTGTTCCGAGGGATGCTAATATTGTTACCCATAGTTTGGCAAAGTATGCTATGTCTAAGAAGGTTGATGCCGAATTTTTTAGTATTTTCTCCTCTATTGTTGGATGTTGAAGTGGGGCACTGTATTTGACTTGTCTATTAATATATTTTCTTGCCTAGAATATTTTTTAAAAAATGAACAATGATAGATAATTGTTAATTCCAATCTTCTTTTCTTAACATTTATGAAAGAACAATAAAGGCAGCGGCTAAGTATGTAAAGAAATAAATTAAAGCAAAAATAAATTAAATAATTAAAGCAATGCTAATGTAAATAATACATTTTTTTTTTTTTTTTTTTGTTTTTAGAACCAGACATGTATTGACTATTTAGAGAAGATAGAATTAGTTTAGAGTCTTTCACACTTGTACAGAGAATGGTAAAATATTGGACGATTATAGAAATTTGTAATAATATTTAATAGATATATAATAGAAAAGTAGAGACTTTTGTAGAGATATAAATATCTAGATATTTTGAAGGAGTGTTAGAGAGTAAAATTATCTTACTCATTGAGAAGTAGAGAATTGCAGGGTGTTGGAGGATTATAGAAAGTTATGGTAATTGGAAGAGTAGAGACTGAGTCTTGTAATATCTAGATAATTTGAAATAGTGTTAGAAAGTAAAATCTTAGTCATTGAGAGGGAGATCCATACTTTTATAAAGTATAGGAGTCTCATTTGTAACCAATATTAACATGATAAAAACTATTCCTTTGCTCTTCTAGCCTTTTAAGTAAACTTCTATCACTTCTGTCAAACATTTTGTATAATATACGATGAATTTGTAACCAATATTAACATGATAAAAACTATTCCTTTGCTCTTCTAGCCTTTTAAGTAAACTTCTATCACTTCTGTCAAACATTTTGTATAATATACGATGAGTGGAGATCATTTAAAATGTTATTCAATTAATTTTCTACATATTTCTTTCTAAAATCTGAAATTTTAAATCAATACTCAAAAAAAAAAAAATATAAAAAATAATCAAATCAATGTTATGCTATAATCGTGCTGTGGAAATGAAGACTGCAAATAAAGATTTTATATATATATTAATGGTGTCGATTTATTGAGATTTCAAATAGTATGATCATATATAAAATTTGCAAATGGGCAAAATGATCAAGGACAGGTAAATTTGTGGCATCTTTTCTATAGTAAATGGTGAGAATTTGAATATTCAAATTGGCTGTAGGTAGACTGTGTTGGATACATTAATTGCTTTGAAATTTTACCTTCACACCCTAAAAACTTATTGCATCCTTTTAACGTTTCAAAGTGGATGATGCGAATTGGAGTATTCGAATTGGCAAAATAAATGTTTAGGTGAAAAGTGTTTTTCTTGATGATGACAAAAAAACAAAAAATAAAAAAACCTTCCCAATCTACTTTTTAATACTTTTTTTCCTTATCATTTATTTATATCAACTTTCTTTGTCTTTTACTACTATTTTTCTTTGCGCAATATGTGTGCACGTCGGTGGCTTGAGTTACAAATAGGCCACCTTGAATTTTGTGTGAAGCCATCATGCCAAGATACCATGGGACGAGAAAGCATGTTATTAGGAGATGAGAAAATGAGGGATAAAAGTAGTTTTTTTTCTTCATTGGCTCCTATTATTTTAGGTGAAAAAAGAATAGAAAAGAAAAAGAAACAGAAAATCTCTCTCCATATGATAACATTTAAACTCAAAGGTACAAAAATTGAGGGAACAAAGACATTGGTGAACCCCACCCTTTCCCTTCCTTTCTCTTCCTCTTTTTCTTCGTAACCAAACATTCACTTCTTAAATACCCCCCTCCTCAATGATATGAAGTGATTAGCCTTGTTCCTCTTATATGGAAATGTTGAATGAATTGATTTTGATTTGAACACCAATAGAAAAAGACAAAGCTACATCTACTTCTAATGGAACAAATATCCCCAGGGTTTTTATCTGGGCTTTGGTGGGATAATTTCCAAAGACAAATATTGTTTCTTACTCAAAGTAGGCCCAAACTCAAACACAACTATAATTAATTGTGTGTCTTAGAATACACCATCAATTCTAGGCTATTAGAGGGCCGAGTAGGCCGACTCTCTTAAAAAGGCCCACAATGCCCTGAGAAACCAAGCATCTAACAATCTCTTGAACATTCTCTTTAAAAGGCCCACCCACCACCACCACCAGGCCTGTTTAACACATTCTGCAACTTTTGCACAAATTGAAAAACTGTTTTTCTATTTCCCCAAATATTTGAAACAAATTTCCAAAACTACGACTAGTATAGTATAAATCGGGGTTTTTTTTTTTTTTAATTATTATTTAATGATAAAGTTGGGCAAACTATTTCAAACTATGCTTATATGGCCAGCTTTGGCACCAACAATAGTTCATACGAATTAAACCAAGGGTCAAGACCAATATTGGGCGACGATTTATTGGTTTCGACTAGCATAAAGGATTTTGGGTATGGAAGGGCATGGGCGCCGCGTGCCGACCCTAAAAGATATACATGAGTCAGATTGTTACAAGGGGTATTTGTCTCACGTCGAATTTGAATAGAAAGTGAAAGGGGTATAAATGGGTGGATATGCAATACTATTCAATAATTTAAACTTTTAAGTAAATAAACAAATGCCTTATTAATATGATCATTCAATAAAAATGTATCATTTTATTAAATGTATAATATCAGTTTGTTGAGTCCATGTATTATTAGTAGGTGAGACAAATTTTATTAAATATGTATTTTTATCATGTGGGCATATTAATTTTAGTTTAAAATTGTTTGAATACGGCAAGATAATTCCAACACTTGTCACTCCAACAATAAAAGTTAAGGGTAACATTGCATCTATTCAGTTTAGGTCACGCTAAAAAAACCAAACACGCCATGCAAGATTTAAAAAAAACCAAAATAAAAGTCAGAGCAGTAAGAAAAGTTTAAATAGTTTATGTAGTTATCAAACTGACGTATTAGGGATTTGTTACTTAGTAAAGGTTCATTGCATATGAATTAAGCATAGTAACACATCAAATATTATATTTATATATAATACACACATACAGATATATACGCCTGTGTGTAAAGTGTAAAGTTGTAAACAGTAAAAACACACACACACACACACCAAAGTTCACTGCTCCTAGATGGGTTTTCACTAGGCCTAGTGAATACCATCTGTATGGGGTAATAAATGTGAAGATACTTTCATTCATACCTTAGAGTGATACAATCACATGGTTGGGCTGTGTTCATAATAATAAAGAGAGAGAGAGAGAGAGAGAGAGAGAGAGGGGCCAATCTCTGCCATTCATATTAATGTGATGGGGTATCGTTATAACAATATCTTGTTCCTTTCTAAATTTTTTTAGGCATGCTACCATTAAATCATGATTGTCCCACATGCACTCCCAAATGAAATTATGGGACACATGAAGAATGTGACTATTAACGTCACCTATTTGTCGCCTTTTTCTTCACCCCATTCTCATATTCCTAATTCCAAAAATTCTGATGAAAAAGAAAAAGAAATTCCAAAAAATCAACAACCAAAAAGCAAGTTCAAGTACCTATCATCATTAAGTATCCCTTCATTTCATATCACTAATTTAAAGAACAATATATATATATATATATATATATATATATATATATATATATATATATATATATTTGAATAATCACATATATGGTACAATTTGAAAATCATCTCATATATAGAAAACTCATAAAGTGACACTATCCCAAAAAATTATAACAAGAAGCAAGTAAAAAGCAACAATACACACAACGGAAGAGTGGAATGCTTATATAGAACCAAACTTGTCAATCAAAGTGTTTCTAAAAGCAAGCAAGGGTTGGTCTCTCTGTTTTAAGAAATGGGCTGTTTTTCTTGCAATTTGGAAGGTGTTGACTAATTTAATTGCTTTTTAATACTAGAATCCAAATGAAATCTTCTGAACACAGACTACACGTTAGAATGTAAACGAAAACACATAGTACATTAGTATCAACACCTAGTATGGTCTTCTATACATCTAGTGCCACAAAGATATTAAAATATCCGTAAGAATTGTGATATACTTGGCCTTATATGAACTCAGGTGCAGGCATGTCTAGGTATTTTGGAACTTTGATAAGAAATATTCGTTCCCCTAACAAGTACAAGTAATTTAACATGTTACAATTGATCCATGTGTGTACATAAAATTCATTATTAATAGACTAAATAAGACAATTTTAACTACAATTTAATAGCACAAAGGCTTCAAATGAAATATGCAGCTTCAAACATGATACAAACTACTGGTAGTAGTAGCAGTAGGTTTTTTTTTTTTTTTTTTTCCTCTTAATAAAAGGCCACTTTAAACTTAAAAGAATTTGCAACTATATTTGAGATCTTTAGATAATGTATTGTGTACAATGAAAGCGAATGACATTTAACCTCAGTGCATGCCTACAATCTGTTCATTCACGCTTAGACGAAAGTGAAAGAGAGGAAGTCCTGAAAAAGAACCTTTTTAATTACATTGAGACCTGGTGAAACTACAAAAGCCAGATCATCAGGAAGAGTCATGAGAACTTAGGTTTAGGCATAGATGACATTGATGAACTATTAGGATGCACGGGACCAAGCTTTTGAATCCATTGAAGAGGACCCTTCTTATGATCTTGACCAGTTGGATGCTGTATCAGGTTTAGGGTTCCATCACGGGCAAGTGAAGATTCAAACTCCTCTAAGACCTTCACAACCTGCCAAAACTCGGGCCTCTTTTCTGGATGCAAACACCAACATTGCTCAATTAAAGTTTTCATGGCAGGGGAGCAATCCCCAGGGATAGCTGGTCTCAGATTCTGAATGATCCCAAGGTTGATGTTAGAATTGCAAAGCATATATTATGAGTCTCACGAGAGTAAAATAAAAAAGACCACAGAGTAAGAGAGAAAGCACAAAAGCAAAATAGGAAAGATGTTGAATGTATCCTCAGTTCTCACTATAGAACCAGGGAAAAAAGAAACGGAAAAAATCAGTATACAGTTTGATAAATATAGAATGCTGATCCCACAAGTCCAACCCCATCATAAAGTTAATAAAGTAATAATCCGACAAGAATTTATGGACACTATAATTACATGTGAAAAAATAGAGGTGTTTCCTCTTCCAACACATTGGGATGTATCAGTTAACATTCGTTTGAAAAGGCAATTTAACTATACATGGTCAGGATTTCTGGGTGTGTAGATACAATCATCTTTAATAATCCAAGATACCATGCATTCATTTCCTTTTGACACTCAAGCAATGTTAGCAATGCTATTGCAGATGGCTTTTATGATATACAGCAAGACGACATGGCCGCGAAAAGCCAAACATCGCCGTAGTTCATAGAAAGCGTGAACAACATGCCAAACTCACCATCAATATGCTTGGTGCACTTACTCTTATCCTAAATTACTTGGAGTTGAGGACAATTAATTTGTGCTTTGGCTTCAGGTGGTTCATTCATATAGGTTTGAAGAAGCATCCAAACCTAAATGCACTTTTTTTTTTTTTTTTCAAGGTTAGTTTTAGTTGAACTCTTCTCGCAAAACATGTAGCTACATCTAGACATGCACAATATAAAACAGTATTAAATAACTTGAAGACGGAAAATGACAATGGAAACTGACAATGGAAAGAGCTTGATATGCACAATGGAAATTATTAATATATAAAAAAAGCAAGAAAAAATGGATACAAGAAAGTACCTTATTCACTACAGCAAAAGCAGCTTGGATGGGTGTCATATCCTCATAAGGGATAGCTCCAGCGACCATTTCCCATAAAATGAGTCCAAAGCTGTACACATCGACCTTCCGCCCATACGACTTACGTTTGATCATCTCAGGTGCCATCCAACGATAAGTACCCGGATCCTCTGCCAAAAGATCGCAGTATGCCTCCTCACAAGCTATTCCGAAATCGGCAATTTTCAGGTGAAAATCTTGATTAACAAGGATATTCTCAGGTTTGAGGTCTCTATGAATGACACCTTGTGAGTGAATGTATTCCATTCCTCGAGCAATTTCAAGAGCAGTTGTGATTAGTTTCTGTAAAGGAAGAGATTTATGATCAAGTTTGTGCAAGTATGCTCTCAAGGAACCCTCAGAGAGATATTCCGTGATGACGCAAAAAACAGGTGGCTTTCTGCATGCTGCTACAAACTGTGTGAATATCAAATATGAACAACTCAAGTCAGAAAGGGTTTAACAAAGACAACAATTTTATTACTTTATTCCCAATTCAAATAGCTTTGCATGATGTGTATTAGTCAAAATTATAGCTTCGGTCCATTTTCCGTTAACAACATGGACACAATATAATTCCAAAAAGGAGTATGAAAACATGATAAGAGTTAATATTATCAAGCAACACTAACATTGAACAGAGCTGATTAAGAACTTCCTATTTCCATAGTTTAAGAGAGAAATTGATTAATTCATCAATCATGGGTAGATAACAGATGGAAGTTAAAAAAGAAGACGAAAAAATGGTACCTTTATGACATTTTGATGATACAGACGAGATAAAAGGGTGACTTCTCTATTGAATTGCCTCTCTAACCGAGCTGCCAAATCTTCATTTTCATAATCCTCCGGAACCCTGATAATTTTTACTGCAACAGGCTCATCCTTGTATATCCCATGGTAAAGCTGACTATGTGCCCCATGAGCAAATTTAAGACCGAGAAATAGCTTAGAGAGATCAACCATCCATTCATCAGCTGTTTCCACAGAGGTAACTCTTCCCCCTCCATGGTCAAAATACTTTGCCCATGACAACTCCTTGGTGGTCTTCGTCTTATCATAAAATTTTGTAAAAGAAAAGCTCTGAAGAGGGCTGGTATTTGAGGAAAATCTTGAACCACGTGCTCGGGTTTCATGGGAATCTTTGTGGAACAACTTGCCCATAAGCCCCTTCTCGGATTCAGTTCTTCGAGGATGCGGAGTTGAGAATCTTTTCCGATCATGCCGAGCTTCTTTAAATGCATCAGAGAGTGTGAGTTTAGGGAGAGGTGATAAAGACCTCTGCTTGTTCATAATTGGCGACCTCTGCTTGTTTGTGACGGGCTTCCGCTGACCCTCTGCTACAGAAGTTCCTGCGGTTTGATTAACAGAAGCTGTTCCAGGTCTAGATTTGAGACCCGAATTTCGTTCCGGTTGAATGGTGAAAGGGATAGAGGCCAACCTTGCAGAGTCGAAACGATGACAAATGGTGTGAGAAAATTTTGTTCTCCTTATCCAAGAAGTAGCCTCTTCTTCCATTACTACACCCTACAAAACACCCTCTTCTTCTTTCCCTTCTTCTTCTGTTGAGAAGTCCAAAATCAATTTTTTCCTAAAGAAATTCTATATAATTCACATAGCTCCATACATGAAATTCTTTCAAACCCATCAGCAAATGAACCATAAAATATCAATTTCGCCTCCATTGAAATCGAAATTCACCTTTTTAAATCCACTAACATATATACAATATGATATGAATTTCCACCATGATGGAGGTCAGAGAACACTTGAAAGTTCAAACACACATCAAAGCAGAGACTACCTCAAACCTTAATCTACTTGCTTAAAAATCAAACCTTAATCTACCCTACCAGAATTAAAATCACTGAAACCCCATTTCATACCCATCAAAATCAACAGTAAACCTAACAACAACCCCACCTCAAAAGACGATTCCTTCAGCTTTAAAGTCAAACACAACCTTCGTTGAAACCCTGGAAAATTCCACACACATCCAAATAAATTTAAATAAAATAAAAAAAACCCAAAACAAAAACATTATGCTCAATTGCATTGAAAATAAATAAATCCCATTATTACTACTAACCCCATTAACCAAAGAAGAAAACAAATCATTACTTCAAAACAATCACGGACCTATTAAAAAACCAAAATATAAAGAAAATCCATCAACTTGAATAATTGTATTTATATTATATATAAATAGTATATACATGAACAGAACAAAGGATCTGAGAATGAGTATTTTACTTACAATTAAGGGTAAAGCTACCACAATTTTGCTTTTCTTATTCTTCTAGGGTTACTCTCTCCTCTCACAATGAAATTTGGGATCTCGTTAGAGTTAGAGACAGAATCAACATCCTAGAGTGACACAAGGAGGGGAGGGGAGGGGAGGGGAGGGGAGGAGAGGGCCTGCTAAATATCATATCATCATCACCATATGGTAGACGTATACGGAGCTGTGTGTGACCGTAGATTCCATGGACCCGACTACGCTGGTGGAGTGCTAGAGTGGGGCGGGCGGTGATGGTGGGTGGTGGGGACCACCTCCAGAAAGTCAGAGAAGACGGAGGAGGAGGGGAGGAGAGAAAAAGTTAGAGAATGAATAAAAATAAGAAGAATACAACCATCTTTATCAGAGAATGAGGTACGGAACAGCAAAGCTATATGTATCTGTATGTGTGTATATATATACACATATACGATATTACTAATGTGGTACGGTTCCCACGGATACGTGTGACAATACCGTTGGTAGGGAGGGAGACGGGACAACCGTGTGGGGTTCGTATGTTCACCGTATGATTGAGTTGTTTGGTTGTGCAAAGAGAATTTGTGATGTGTTTGGTTCCAAGGGCTCGTTTTGCCACTAGATTGATTTATCTTAAAATCTGAGTCGCTCACGGGGTAGGTCAGGTAATATTGACACCATTATTATACAGATTATTCACATGATTAATTCACTCATAAGGTATGGTGGACTTTGTTGGAGCGATAAAAGGTGTGATTATAATTATCTTTAATATTTCTCCTAATTCCTCTAATTCTTAACTCTCTAATTATTACTGGGTGTAAAAAAAACAAAAAAAAAAAAGAAACCTACCATTCATAACTCATTTAACAAATATGTCGAGATTTTTTTGATATATTTTAAATTTAACAAATATGTCGATATTTTTTTGATATATTTTAAATTAAAAAATTATTTCTAATACGAATAGAACACATATAATTAAATAAGTTAATCAAATTATTAATAACTGGCCATGTTAAAAAGGATATTGGTTTAAGTTAGACACGAAAGTAAATAAACGGCCTTAAATCATATACGGAGTAGTTGTACATGTTGATGTTACTTTATTATTATTATTTGGTATAATAAATTCATAAGAAACCAAGATTGGACTACTAATCTTAAAAGAAATCAGATATAAGATACAAATTGTTGTACAATGGTTAAAAATGCCATGATGGGCCCAATCTGTAGGATACTTATTTGGCAACATACTAACAAGTAAAAAGGTCAACCAATTATTAATGGAAATAGAAGATTTATCAGAATAAATTTCTTTATTTTTGGACGCAATGAGGGGATATTATTACACTTACCTAAAGTAAAAGATTTGTCAGAATAATGGATGGCATCAAAGGTAGATAATCACTTTTTAGATCGACCAATTGTCACAAGGGTCTTAAATCACTCAACTCATTTCTTTGGTTGGACCCTTGGGCCTAAAAAATATTATTCTTTTCCTAGTGGGCTTAATTAACAAACACAACTTGACTCATATATATATATATATATTACTTTTTTTCAATTCCAAGGAAAATGTCAGAAGCTTTAAATTTAAAGAGTAATGATACTTGGCATTTACACATAATATTGGTCATTGCATGTCAAATATAAAAAATGAAACCCTTCACTTCCTTATCTAATGCATTAATGACCAATCATATATAATAGGTCTAATAATTTTGCTTAAATGATTGGTGCAAGTATTATTACTCAAATTTAAAAGATCATATTAAATTAATTTCAGTCAAACTAATACAGTATGATAATTATTTTAAACCAAGGAAAATATTGATATAGTATGGGTTTCATTGCAATATCAGGGAGTTGCAGACATTTTAAAAAACTTATCAGAGTTCTTATTTTTGAGAAAAATATGTCTAAATTTTTGTCAACTAAAACTGAAGTAAATAACCACCAAATAGCTCTATCAATTACTGTAATAAATTTTGTATGTTCTGCTATTATTAGTTTTTAAAGGGTTGAAGTTGAAGTGGTATCTTGAAAACAACTAAATCATAATATAATAAAACTAAAAAAAAAAAAATTAGAGGAAGGCCACATAAGCTAGAGACCAATCGAACTTTCTAAGTCAAGATTCTGCACATAAAAAATTACTATAAACTTCTGAATTCCAATCCGTATGCCTGTACAACTGTATTCACTTACCTCTGTATCCTAACTATATTTTTGGATCCATCAATTGGCAAGATATCAATACTCATGCAAATGCAGTTGCTGAACGGTTGGATTGGGTTGCTTTCCGTGTCTAGAAACCCGTGTTCAAGTCTTGCACCTTATCCCTTCCCTTTAACAATTAATCAGTAATTTTTAACATTCTTGTCTTGAAATATATATATATATATATATATATATATATATATATATATACTCGTTGTAATCCTCATCAACATCATAATCACAATCATTAACTTCCGCGCCATAATCATAATCATTAACTTCCATATATTCATCATCCTGTCCCTGATCATCATTATTGGACGTGGCGCCAGATTTAGTTTCTTCCTCATCAGGTTGTTGCCCGGTGACACTTCTGTCATGATGAGAGTCGGGGTGGTTTCGTTTTGCATCTGGAGCCAGCTGCAAAGATGTTTGGAGAATGAAATAGAGAATTCAAATTACTCCATTCTTACTATAAACTATAAGAAGTATGAACAATTCTACGCATATCAACACTACACCCTTTTTTGGCTGTTTTATTCATTTGAATCAACACTGCATATCCATTGGGTTCCTAAATCAGATTTTCAGGTTTTTGACTTAACAAACCCTAATAGGATCTATGCGGATTCTGTCTGAAATCAATCCACTTACTGGTCAATTTAATGGTTATATCACTAGTGTCAAATTCCTTATTGCAATGCTGGAATTCAAACATGGCAGTTTCTGAAGCCAAGCATTTTCTAAAACCATGAATTTGACAAAAAATTATGAAAACAAAAACCAAACGAAGATTCAACATACATCATCATCAAAGAGAGTCTCCAATACATCATAGTTGATTTTCGAACTCAATCTCTGTGAAGCATAACAAACAGGAATTAGAACAACATTAAAAAATAAATATGGGATGGATTCAAATAAAGATGTGATGGCAGTATCGCGAAACAGGATTCATTAAATAAATCCAAATGATTGGGATAAGGAGGTTAAGTTAAATTCGTTATTCGTTAGTATGTATTCTTGATGCTATATCCCTTATGCTATGTTTGGTAGGGTGGGTTTAAAGGGGAATGATAACTTCAGTTATGAGGGAAAGAGAAGGGAGGGATAATTTTAATTTGGTATTGTATTTGGTTGATTAATGAAGGAAAAGAAAGGGAAGGATAATAATCACGTTTGAGAAAAAAAAAAAAAAAAAAAATTATTTTAATAAATTGACCATTATACCCTTATATATATACACACACACTGTCTCTAGGTCCACAAGAAAAGAAAAAAAAAAATTTCAACCTCTACCGCCTCTAGGGCAAATCATTTCAGCCTCTATTCTCGTTCTCAATGCCAAACTTCTCTCTCTCTCTCTTTGCAACTGCAAATTACTACATGAATCAGAAGTTCAAAACCCATATATTTCAATTTATATATTTGTCTGCAAGAATCAAAACTTCAAAACCCATATTGGCATCATTTCAGATTGTTCAAAAAATCAACACCCAATTTCAGATTGTTCAAAAAATCAAAACCCATATCAGATTGTTCAAAAAATCAAAACCCATATCAGTTTCCATCGCCCGCTGTTCCAATTCGGGTTCGCCGTTCGCAAGCTTCAGCCGCTGGCCCTCTGTCTCTCAACTCTCAAGCTTGCCCCCCTCTCTCTCTGCAACTGCTAAATCAACTAATCAAGGTCTGTAATTTTTGTTTTGCAAACTAAATACACATGTAATCAAGGGCAAAATTGGCATCTGAAATCACACACCAAGCCTCTCCTTCCCTTTCCCTTCATTTCCTCCCATTTTTGGGAGGTTAAGAAATTTACTGTTGAAAGCTTGTGTTAACCCTCCAAACTCTTCCCTTTCCTTCCAACAATTTTTGCCAAACACAAAAATTGTGTTAATCCCCCTCCATCACATTCCCTTCCCTTTCCTCCCTTTGCCATTGCACCAAACTAACTTAATGCTAAACTTGCAACACTATGTTATACCTGATTTTTCAGTTACTTACCTTCTTAGTTAACATGTTTCGGGTCGCTTCTGCAGCAGTTTGAGCAGGACCAGCATTCTTAGCTTCCAAAGCTTGTCTTTCTCTTCGTTTCTAGTTTCATTATAAATTGTAGAAAGAGGTATGAGATTAAATTAAGAAATAATTCATTAAAATCTCTTCATGTGTAGTGCTGAACCAAACTGGATTTTAAGTTCATAAATTCGAGTTCAAAACATATTCTATATAAATAATAAATTCAAAAAATATGTGAATGCATATCAAACATAATGTTTAAGGAACATTACCCAAAAAATAAAAAATAAATTGTCATTGATACATAATTTTTTAAAGGAAAAATATATATATATATATATATATATATATATATCGCATTTATTTTCAGTTCCAATTTTGATACACACTATAAGAAATTGAATAATAGAATGTAACCATATAAGATTCTTCATCAACACTTGGCTCATTTGCAGCTTGTTCAGGGTCATTTATTAAGCAAATGAGTTAAGCTGGATTTGGTTCTCAGTTCTCAGGCTCATTTGTTTCATGAGCCAAGCACATGATGACAACAACTCCTTTTATATGATCTGAACAGAACATAATGCATTGGAGCAAATGAGTATGAAAAGGCAAATAGGTGAAGTTAAGCCAATTAGCCCTACAACTTTTGGCAGTGTGTCAATGTTCAAATGAAGTATCTAGCCAAAATTTCCAATACTAGAGAGAAGCAGTAAACTCATTTCGTTCTTTATTCCACTAGAGTTTAAGAGTTTTTTGGACAATGTACCAAAACCTTCAACTCTAGAACTTCTTTCCTCTTCGGCCCGCTTTTTACATTTTCTTTTCTGTGTTCCATTTCCTGCTCATCATTATAGGTGAAGTCCACCACAGACTTAAGATTTGGTCCATATGTTGTTTTATTATATTCTTTTCAGGATAACCAAGAGGTGCGAATCCAGACTTTCTTTCTCTGTAGATATATATATATATTTTTTGGCTGGACGGAGGACCATTTCTTTTCATTTTACTCTTTCATTTAAGCAAAACCTTTTTTACTGATTGTAGGTGGAAACCAGTGGACCATCAACTTGAGAACAATCATGGAAAGCAAACCAAGCTTAGCAGAGCCAGATATTGGTTGAAAATTGTTGACCTAAGTTTGAACAAGGTCAGTCAATCTTGACTTGAGATTAAACCAAGATCATATTCACCACCATTGTTGCAAAAAAAAAAAAAAAAAAAAAAAAAAAAAAATTCACCCCCATTGAACTGAGCCAAGTTCAGACAGTCACTACTGGATTTGCCTCGATTTGTTTCTAGCCCTATGTCTAATATAATCAGAAAGGACATCCGTTTGTCTCTTTCTCTCCAGCGCAGCTTTAAAAACATATATAATTCAAAGTTTTGGAAGTACTTCCAAAGGGAGGATCAATGTCTCTTGGACTAGAGAATAAGGTGATGTAAGAAAAGAACATAACGAAAAGGAATATTCGCCAAAAAGGAAATCTCTAAGGAATAACCCAATAAAAGCTTCTCGAAACTTAAAGAAAATGATGAAGAAAAACCTATAATCAAGCGAGCTTCACCTTTGGTTCACGAAAAGAGGTTCATAACTTCAAGGTAGTATTACATACCATAAAATCCTTAGTTATGTCAGTTTATATTCTTTACTTTGTATTCATCAAGCTTCATCTATCAAGATTATTATTGAAAATATGAATAAAGTCTAGAACAGGGGCAGCTAACAATTTTTTATTTCTCTCTCTTGATAATGGATCTTTATTTACTAGCAAAAGGTTGGACCTACTTAATCCAGGGGCATACCTGAATCCACTTTATCTCCGAGTAACTCCTCTCTTTCATTTCTATATCATTTATTTCAGAACTTTGAAAGCATCATATAAGTCCCCCATTTATATTGAGCACCACATAAAGAAAAACGATGAATAATGACAAATGAGCATGTACCTCCTCTTTTAATTTTCCAACAGCAGCAGCGGCAGCAGAAGTAAGTTCGCATGCTGCACGAAAATCACCTGAAGCCGCACTAAAATCCTTAATAGCAGCAGCAGCTGCCGCTTCCTTGGCTGCTTGTTCCTGCAAAACCATAAGTTAAGCATACATTATATCTACCCAAGATAAAGTATATTGCCAAAAAATTGTGCATTTCATGGAAAGATCTACGCAGATGAGTCAAGAAATATATCACCTGAAGATATTCTTTGTTCATTTCTTCCCAGATGATCTTTTTGTACCGACTCTCCTCCTCACTGTTAAGGTAGCCATTGACCTATGCCGCAAAAATTCAATAATGCAAACATGAAAATTCAGATGAATTCATCAATGAAATATTGGTAAATCACAGTTGGCCGGACAAACTCTTAAACACAAAACAAGTTCAGAGAGCCATGAGAACAAACACAATTGGGGAAAGTAGTGCTGCCCCCTTAGCCCGCATGGTTCCAGAAATAGCTTTTAATTTATCATCTTCCATAGAATTATAAATTCATAATTAACACTACCTCACCACATTTTACCTTCCTATAAAGTACCTCGGCATGGCCACTTGAAACAAGTATTAGTTGCCTAGCTAAAAATATTATTTTCTAATATTTTTTCAATAATTTAGGAGAAGAATTATAAATAAGACACCTTTAAAGGGAAAACTCCCAGAGATATTCTTTTAAAACTCCTTCTACCTTCCTCTGTCTATTATATTTGGATTGAAAAGAATGATAGATTTTTCATCTACGCCGTATATCAACAGATAATGGTTTTGAGGGTCATCCACATAGTTGCAAAGATGTCAATTATCTAACAAATCTCCAATGCTGTGAGATTTAGGATTTCACCTTTGAATGGGTTTCCTGTTACTGCTGCTAATAAGCACATTCAATTGGTTTGGAATCTACCAGCCAGTATATTTGATAAATGGCTCAGTGGTTCACGCCTTCTTGATGACTTTCTCTCTGCTTGGTTCTCTCAAATTTGTTTGAGCTTTTACCGGAATGTGATTTCTGATTCTGTGTTTGGTTTCTATATTGTCATACTGGGCTGAGAATTGATTTTCAACTGTTATTGCTATGGCAGTTGTTTAGCTTTCTTTTCTTAATGCTGGTTTGAGCTCTAGTTTGGTGGTTGCACTCTAATGGGCTGTGGTTGTAAGTTTGTTTAGTTACTTTTGTTGTACTCTGTTGGCCTAGCTAGGACTTGTTGATTCTTCAATAATATGCTTATAAAATTAGAACAATAGTAGCGCCATTTGATGCACTGGTAATTTCATTAATGATGACAGTTAACATCCAGATGTTCTAGACAAAACAAAAAGGAAACTCTCTCATTCAAGTGCTCCAGGATAAGAGCCGGAAGTCATGTAAATACAAGTTATGAATATAGTGTCACTGTAAACACTCAACCCATGACTCAACCAATTGCCACTCATTCATACAAAAATTTTATAGAATTAAAATTGAGCCTTTGATATTTCCATAAAAGAGGAAAAAAATTTGGAAACAAGCTGGGACAAGGGCTTTATGAGCTAAGTTGTCTTTCATATTTATTCAGAATTGGACAAGAGAGCATAAGTTCCAGGTGTTCACAATTGCTTGGACTATTGGTGGAGAACTTTGTGGGGCTGATAAGGAGAAGAAAGGACAACAGGTAGCAACTTTGATTAGACAAGTAATTTTTGTGGGGTTGATGTGAGGAGAAAGGACAATAGGTAGCAACTTGGATCAGACAAGAGAGGAGAAAAATTACAACCCAACAGAAGTATGTGGATGTAGATTAAATGTAATGGCATAAAAGGATCCATGTCTAATGCCAAATAGTTAGAATGACCAAAAATAATGCACCTGCTACAACTCTAAAGAGGAAAACAAAACGTAGGTAGGATATGCACATAGTGCAACGTTATATGAAAATTAGAGATAATAATATATGCTAATGCAAACGAGCCACACACCTCAGCATCATCAATATCAGAAAGGCTTTCTGTTTCATCAGCAGCACTACTCATCTCCTTAAAATTATGGTATGTATCAATAGCACCATCAGCTCTGAACTCACCACCAGTGACAGGCACTGAAACAAAACATGCTCAGAATTACTCAGAATAAAAGTATAAGCCTCAAACCTTTATTAGGCATCTCTTTGTAAAATTAAAATAAACTTACAACCCACATTTTGGCTGGCTGTAGCAAACAGGTCAGCTTCCTAAACAAACAAATATTTTACATCAAAGACACAAAAAGCACAATAAGAGAGAGATACTAATAAACACAACTATTCAAATATTATGATAATAAGCAGAAAGAAAAGGGAAGTGCAAAATATCCCCCAACTATATATATATATATACAAAATGTGCAAAAAATACCCTTGGTGTTCAAAAAAACCCCTATATTTTTCAATTCGAACAAATAAGGACAATTCTTCAATTTGAAGACTGAAATACCTAAAATGCCCTTATGACCATAAAAAAAAATCGATTTAAAAAATTTGGGTTTGGGGTATTTTGGGATTTTTTTACAAATTTTTTGGGGATTTATGGGGATTTTATAAAAAATTGAAGACTTAAATACCTAAAATGCCCTTAAGGGAATTTTGGGGTTTTTATAAACAAATTTGGGCAAAATTGACGATCAAGGGGCAATTTGCTACAATTTTCAAAATAGGGATTTATATGCACATACTAAAAATCAGGGGTGTTTTTTCCACATTTGTTTATATAGCTGGCGGTCTTTTGGCACTTTACCCAATAATAATAGAAAAGAAAAAAGAAATTAATGAATCATTGATGTGATGATAACAAAATATATGTGTTTATATATATATATTGCAATACATACATACATTCTCACAGCTGTTTTTTTCTTGGGAGGTTTTAAGACGAAATCTGATTCCTTAACCGCCACAGCAGAGACTTTGGCTAATCTCTCCCTTTCAGCATGCTGGAAAGCGGGAGGATCTGATCCGCCATTAAGTCCCCCAGAAAGTTCGATGAACTACAACGAATAAAGCGTTGAGTGGAAAAGTACAAAGATGAAATAAGAACAGAGGAGAAAAAGGAGAGAAGAGTTACATCTTGATAACAACTTTTGCAAAGACCGCAAGCAAAATAAGGATCTCTGCCTTTGTGTTCACATAGCACTTCCATTGTGCTAGACTTTTGGCAATCAACAGCTGACAGTTCGAATGCATGATCCTCATTTTCAAGCTCCTTAGCAGTCTTGTTGAACTCCTCAATCTTGTAGACATTTTTTTTTTACATATAAAACATATTATTTTAGCATTGGGAATGCAGAAACCCAATTAGATTGTGTAGTCCAATAGATATATGATTCTTCCCTATGCAAAAGAAAACACTCGTGTTGTGACTTAAATACAACATTTATATAGACGACAAAGTTCTCTATGTTGGCTGAAAAAGTTCTATACATGACAATGCCTGCCAGAGCATCATGTCCATTACAATGTATCACCCGTGCATGGTTCCTCTTCAACAGTGTCCATGCCACAGAGAGAGCATTTAGCTAGTTAAAATTTTCAAATCTAATTTTGCTGTGATACTAGTTTATTTTTTTAAATCTTTAGTTTGTCAACAACTTTATATGAACTCTCCTTTTTAGGGGTTTCTTATCCCATAAAATTGTAAACTAGACAATAGCTGTCTATACATCACCATCATATATATCATAAAGATTATTACTTTAACTAAACACATACATATATGTAGGAACCAACAGTAAGAGGATTACGACAAACGAAATTACACAATTATGCAAAGTGCACTTTGGGCACCTTAAGCCAGAGCTAAAGAATAGGCAAAATTACTCGTTTACAATGCACAAGAGACTCCTGAGAAAAGGCAACAATTGTGCCTAACTTTTGTAGGTCAATGCATGCAGCAAATGTAGGAAATGATGTGCACTTGCTGTTAAGCTCCCAGACCCTGTATTCTCAAATTCAGTCAATCGTTTTGCCAAAGTTGCTTCACATATATGGACAACCTCCACCTAAAGAACATAGCACACATTAAACAAACTATTAAAAAATGATCAATGCAAATTATTCAAACTCAATGAAAACCTGGTCACATTTATTAAGAGGAAAACAGAAGAAACTTGATAAAATTAAGCACTGCTTAGAAAACAAAACATAAGTATTTTTATTAGAACTTTTCAATAATAACAAGAGTTGGATTGTAAGTTTTCTATCATGCCAGTCAGACTAAAACAGAATATTGAATACCTCCCTGAATGTGTCCAAAGCTTGGATATGGGTACATAAACAGTTCTTACACATTTCAATACGTAATATACTATAGTAGTCATATGTAAGATGCCATAATTATTAAAACCTACTCAATTATAATTTAAATTAGGATAAATTACACTGATTTCGCCCTGAGATTTGGCTCAATACTCATGCACGCTGAGAATAGGAAACATACATTGTCCCTTATCGGAGTTTCTCTGCTTAACGTTTATTAATGATTGACAATGCACAACACAACCCATCCTAGTCTTCTTCTTACCTCTCTTCTCCTTCTTGCTCCACTTCGACCATGGGAATCACAGCAGCCACCTAGAGCTCTTCCAAGGCATTTTCCATTGGTTCATTCAACCAAAAGATACTAGATCTCACATAAAAAGTTATTTTTATTTTTTATTTTATTCTTTTTTCAATCTGGGATTTCAGATTTGGGCCTTGGAATTAAACTTTGGGGGCTTGCTTGAAGAGAATATTGATGCTTGACTTTCCCTCTTATGCCTGGCTCTAAACTGGAAACGGTTTGCGGTGATTTGTGTAGGAGATGATATTGGCGGTGGTGGTGGTGGCATGTGCAGGTGGCTGGGATGGTGAGCATGGGATGGCACGGTAGGAGGGGTGAACAAATGGTGGTGGTTGTGGAATAACTATGAAGAAGATGACAGTTTAAGTGTATGTGATTCGTACTTGGGTTTTTTAATCTACGGTAAACACAATTGAAAGACATATATTTATTTAGAAATACAAGAGTATCAGATCATATTATCTGTTGCTGATGAGAAGGAAAAAAAAACACCAAATTATTTGTTGTTGATGTTCTCAAATTCCTATTGAATTCAACACCCAAATTCATATTTCTTTTCTTGCTTCTACATTTTTCAAGAAACAGAGTTAGTGTTTGACTAGGTTAAGGAGGACAAACATGAATGTTAAATAGCTACATGCTCAACTAAAGACAGCTGGATGATTCAAAGGTTGACAATCTCTCTAGACACTCCATGTGTATCTCAAATGTGTTGGGTGACCTTATATTTATAGGTCAGGTGGGGTGTTTTAATTTGGAAACTCCCCAATAATTGTGCTAAATTTCAAAATATACGAGATAACGGTCTCTTTATATTTGGAAACAAATTTGAATTTACCAAACTATCCATGAAAAGCTTGAACCTTGAGATTTTGCCACGTGTCCATTGATGGACCCACACTTGTATACTTTGACTTGATCAAGAAATTTTGACTCTTTAACCAAATGGATGGTAATGAGACAATCTCAAAATGACCAACAAACCACACAACTCTACTAGAGTTATACGTACAAAGTAAATGTTCATAGGCATGGGCATGTTTAAGCAAAAAGGACATAGATGAGTTCGAGAGCATTTTATGTCAAAAGCATTGCCTTTAGTAATTACACCAATTAGGCAAGCACTCCATAAAAATAAATAAATCTATAAAGAGACTTCCAATTTCCGGCCCCTTCAACAACTGAAAAGAAGAACTTGGCTTTTCACTCACCTTAAAGGGAACAAGTCAGAAGAAAACAAATGATAAGCCAATATGTCTGACATAAAAACACATAGATGATGTTGGACCAAAAATCCATATCAGGACATATGAGACGCGCAGAACCATTTAAGTTACAAACAAAGCGACATAATTGCAAAATATAATACAAGGGAAGAGACACCTACTATATCTGACTTCGAATAACTCAATCCATGTGAAAGAGCCGAGATATATAACGCTGCACCACATAGCCCACTAGGTTTTCTGCCTGTCTGTTAAAAAATTATAATGATTAAAATTGCAATTATTAAAACACCAAGGAAGTAATCAATTCACATTGAAAGAGGACACGTCAATTACATAAATAAAGGAAGATAACAAACCTGCAGCCAGTCTTGCTTCATACCGGCTACAATGCGAATTGCAGTATTAGAAACCTTCCGATTATCGAATCCCATTAGACCTACATGCAAACATATATTATAGATGCAGGATACGAGAATAGTCTGCACTAGCGGTAACATTCAATATTGTATTAACTCAAAAGGCCATATATACATCAATCTGTAGTCCATAGTGCTACTCTCTACCTTTTAGTATATTACTTCTAACAATGTCACATCCACGCTACTGGCAACAAGCACGGAGTCGTGTAATACCTAATTGTTCACCTCGTTGGAAAACACATGCATGACAAGCACAATTAGATCCAATGGGAGCATAGTGATAGGGACAAAGTTACACAGTCACAAATGAAAACACCACTCCATTTCACAAGAAATATTGACTCCAACATCTAGAAGAGAATGGTATTTGATTTGCTAAGGTAGCATCAATTTCCTCTCATCAGCTCACTTAACATCTATTGTAGCTCTGTGAAACTTGTTCAAGACTGGCTTTTTACCATCTGTACAAAAAGGCTTGAGAAAGCTCACATGGGAGAAAAACTTTCTTGCGCCCCGGGTGCATCCGGACCATCCGTGTAATACACGCACCCACGAGTGTATTACAAGATCGGTAATGAATGGTTAGATGCGCCTGTTGCATGTGCAACGGGTGCAAGGAAGTTTGTCTCCTCACATGGAACATGATGAACTTCATACAAGATGGGGGATACACCTTTGCGGCTGCCCCGCACAACTTTCATCATATCAGAGGCTAATCCTCATATTTTGAAAACGAGACATTTATCTCACCTAAATATTTTATAATTAGGCTCCAGTTTTACCAGAAGTTGAATGCCGCACTAAAATCAAATGGCAATGCACCCTTGATCCCCCCAACTTCTCTACTGAGTTGGATGGTTTGCCAAGAAAAGTACTAGCATTCTCTTCATTTCTCTGATTCTTTGGTAAAGTAATAGGTGGTCTAAGGTCCTAATACGTGGTATCATAGTTTTCATTAGCTAAAAGCATGTCTGTCAGGCCCGGAACCCCGATTGCCCAAAATCATATAAAATTGAATTCGGAACATCCTTGGAAAGTTGGAAATACCCAATCAGACAAATATTCCTCCAAGAACAAATTAATTCAAAAACAACAAAATATAAAATAATCAATTCTTAAATTTCACTCAATCAAAATTAAATAATTTCCATTGTTTTTACTCAGTTTTATCCTCCCTCCCTCCCTCTCCACATTTTAGGCTATCCGTCTTATGCACAATTGTTTATCTTAGCCTATTCAGTTACTTATATTACGCATGCGCGCGCGCGCACACACATGCAGTGGTACATTCTAAAGACACTATTGTTTGTTCAGAGTATTATAAGTCAACTCAATCAATAGCTTCCTTTCTCTACTAGAACTAATTTGGTAGTACTTCTTTCTCTTGGTGTCCAACTAGTACATGAATTCTCTCTTTTTTTCTAGTAAACAGTCTTTGTAGATATAGATAAATGATGCTGGAAAAAATTTTGAACACACTTCACAAGCACGTAAACCTATTCTATTTTAAATTCCAAGCTCACTGTGCACGGAACTATATATATAATATTCTTATTTCATTTTACTGTGTATTATTACAATAATCAAACCAATGCAATATTTAATTCTAATAACTAACAAATGGGCAGTTTCAAAGGTATTAAACTATGACATCAGCACTGACAACTCCTTTCCCTCCCTTTTGCATTACCCTCAATGAGTACCAAATCATTTTTCCTCTGGAGCAGTTATAAGCCGTTGTTACACATTATGAAACCACCTTCATTGATTTTCTATTATTCTATTTCTATCTCTAATTCTTTCTACTTCAAGTTTTCAACCATCTAACAGTTGCGTTCATTTCTAATTTTATCTTTCTTATTTTGTCACACATCCTTCTCAACATCCGAATTTATGCTACAGTTATTTTATTAATATATTGTTTCTTTGCCACCTAACATTCTCTCCAGATGTAAGGCTAGTCTAATAATTTTTTTGAAGAATTTATCTTTCAATTTTAGAGGTAGACACCAATCCCACAATATGCGCGCAGAAGCACTCCTCTATCCAAACCATCCTTCTTTAATTGTAAGATTAAAAATGTATCTGATTTCTCCCTCATTGTGCTATGCTACATAGATAGCATGTATAGAGATCACTGGAAGTGAAAGTTCACTGTTGGATTCTTATCTTGTGTTTCAATTTGTTGGATTTTCCAAATTCACAAATCGATAAGACTCCAAATTTCCCATTCTTTCATATTCATGGATTCCTTGAGATTTTATATCTCGTGAATCTCGGAAAATCTATAATTTCATGTTATCTCATCATTGCTATCATTATATAAGTTGATGCTTCTATCGAATTCATCCATAATATCCACAGGACAAGATGCAGCTATTGTGGGCTCTGTGTACTAGAAGCAGATAGAAGTCGCCAAACCAAGACTTGCACCTGTGCTTTCATTATTCTTCAATTCTCCTTTTTTATTTATTTTCTATTACCAACAACTTAGAATCCATTTGACAAGTAAATACTACACCCTCTTCACAAGCCAAGTATTCCCTAGAAACCAATAATGGAGCCTTTAACCACTAGTATGACTCAAGTATGGTGGTGATTTAGGTGAGATAGACAACAGTGAGAGGTAAAAGGAAGTTTTAACCTAATGTGAGATTTGGACAATAAATTGTACAATATAACATATAGGATGGACTTTTGAGACATCCTGCAAAAATTTTGCAAGCCAAAATTATTGTCTAACACAAGTTCAAGAGAAAAAATACCTATTACCCAGCACTGCTAACCCATGGTGGGATAGTACAACCCAGCAAGATTTTGTTATTGAAGAAATATATTATACCGGAAAGTTAAATATGATTCTGCCTCAAGGTCCAAAGTGATCGAAGAAAGTCACAGATAAACCATATCAAATTTTTTACTCAAAAAAGAACATGTATGTGAAAGAGAAATGAAACCTGTCAGTCAACTTTTCTCATCAGCTGTAAACAAGAGGACTATGAATAAAACCAAAAGTTAGATGGGTTCATACGACTTGTAAACATAGACATAAAAAGGCTTGGATCAACTGGTTTTTGAACTATAGGATGGTCTTGAACACTTAAAAGTTTGCAAAGCTGTAGAAATACAGCTCCCAGCACATAACTAGAACATCAAAAGTAACAGCAATGGTTAATTATACAGGCAAAAGGCGACAGCTAAGTAAAGAGACTCTATATATATGACAGCATAAACATTAAGAAGGGTCTGCTGCTTTCTTACACATTAATACGCAAACAAATGGAAAAATCAATTAGTAGATATTGGCATTTATTTGTTGACCTGCAAAACAGCCAGAAAACATACAATTATCAATCATCTCATCAGTTATGAAATAACCAAGAATTAAAGTAACAAGATCAAATGATTAAAGCACATGAATCCAAATACAGAACAAGTTGATACATCAAAAGACTTGAGAACGGTATCTAACTCATGCTATCAAATATCAAAAAAAGGGGGGCTTGGACAGACAAACTACAACAATCTTATATAGATAAACATCTACTAGAAATGTTTAGTCCGTGAGTGTTAATAAGCAGTTTCTGACACCTAAGCATGGGGGTTAAGAGAGGAAGAAAGCTCGCCACAAAACTACAACCTCCTTTGTGAAACTATTCAATTAAGAATCAAGATCAAAAATGGGGGGGCTTGGACAGACAAACTACAACAATCTTATATAGATAAACATTTACTAAAAAGGTTTAGTCTGTGAGTGTTAATAAGCAGTTTCTGACACCTAAGCATGGGCGTTAAGCGAGGAAGAAAGCTCACTACAAGCCTACAACCTCCTTTGTGAAACTATTCAATTATGAATCAAGAACACTGCCCGAATCATAGAGTGTTGTTGGAAATACTCAATGAGTGTTATTTGTAAGGTAAATTATGTGGATATTTTTTTTTTACAAGTAACAAAAATGTAGATGGAAGAATGTATGAAATCACTGATTGGTCTAGAAAGTTCCCAGTGATCAATGTGTCAAATTTTGCTATTTTGGAATCTCAATCCTAGTAATTTCTGTTAGGTGTTAAGGGGCAAATTTTGTAACAATAGCTAGAGTCTGTAATAATTAGTTTTGTTTATTTTATTTTTATAAAGTTGGTTTAGGTAGTTAAAGTTAGAATTCACCTTGGAATATGGATCCGTGGACCATGAAAAGAAAGCATTTGATGATAAAAAGCGTAAAAAAGGTAAATTCACCTCTTGAGTTACTAACTCACCAATTTGGGTTTCTTCATTTATACTTGCACATCGTATATTATGTTCATGATGATACATCACCAAAATTCATATAAATTTTTTTTTTAACAAAAAATTGGATTTCTTGTAAAACAGGAAGTTGGATTGATCGAGCTATCAATCCACCCTAACTATCGCAAGTTTGATTGATTGATCAAAATTGGGTCCAACCAATTGAAATTTGCAGATTTGGTTTCTTTTCTGTGTTCAAATCTAAAACCAAAATTCTTTTGGATTGAAACACTAATATATATATACCAGTTGAAGAGCACGTGTGATGCACATGAAAACCTCTAAAATAATTATCATAAGAAAAAAATAATTCAATTCAAAAGAAAGTGAAAGAGGAATACATTTTCAAATATGTTTGCAATATTTATTGCCGGTAAATGGGTTGAAAAATATGGACTTGTGGTTATATAAATAACCCACTCAATTTTTGCAGTGAAACACGGAAAAAATTAAGGCAAAAGATTAAATGCATTATAATAAAATAAGTAAAGAAAATATATAAATGAGTTAGAATAGAATAGACTTTGAAAAAAACTAAATTATTAAGGAAAGAGTTCGAAAGAGAATAAAATTAGAAAAAAAGGTAAATTATTATCGAGGGAAGAGTTAGAAAGAGAATAGAATTAGAAAAAAAGTAAATTATTATTTATGGAAGAGTTAGAAAGAGAATAGAATTGGGAAAAAGGTAATAGAATTAAGGAACCGGTAAATTTGTATTATTAAAAATTCATTATAAATAAAAAATTAAATAAATGCTATGAAACTTTTTGTACTTTTAATAATAATAGTATAAATATATATAAACTAGAGATCTCAAACTCATATACGGAGAATAAAAACACGTTTAGAGAGCTATATAGAGAGCACATTTCTTTCTTTTCAATATTTGTCATCTTGCAATAAATGGTGAAGTATTATTAAGAGGCTAATTATCAATCTGTGGAGCTTTCACAATCAACACAAAATCGCAAGAAAGCTCATATATATTGCTCACTAAGGAGAGGAGCAAATCACATGCAGAACGGAAATCTACAAGAGCTTGGGTGAAGTGTCTTGTTTATAAAACTGGATCTGAGGTAATTTAGGTCTCTCTATGGGGATCTAGAATCTAATACTCCTAGGTTTGAAAAACTTTCTTCGTATGGTGGATTTGATCTGCTCGGCCTAGAGCCCTATGGTTTTTCTATTTGGGGGTTTTTCCACTTCAGCCATGTGTTTATGTGTGGTAGCTAGATTTTAAATTATTTCTATATTAGTGCAATTTCTATTGTTGCACTTAAATATAATTGCTAGAAATCGAAAATCAATTACTTTTAGATTTAAAGAATAAAGACCTATTCAAACCCCCTAGGTCTAATTGTAACACAGCAAAATTTGACAAATCAGAACCTTGGGCAATAGTCCTACTCTCAAATATATTCATCATAGATTCTTCAATGGTAAGAAAAGCGCAGCAGCCTATAAATATATATGTTATCTTTCCAGTCAGCAAACTTCTAGTGACTGAATTGTAATGCAAAAATTTAAGAAATCCATAAATATTTATTTTATATTTTTTCTACAAGCTCCCAAAAAATGACCTAACCTAAGGGGATGGGTCCTATGTTGTCACACCACTGGACAAACTTCCAAAGATTGTGCGACTTGTAAAGCAGCCAAAATTTAGGGGATGGGAAGGGTTTAGTTAAAAATAATAGTAACAATAATAATAATAATAATAATCAAAATAAAATAAAATAAAAAATCAATTGTCGCATGCTTTTGGCCTTAACTAAACAAATCTTGTTCTAATTTGAGTTTTAACTCTATATATTTTTGTGGCTTAGTTTTATTATGGTAGGCTTTCAATAGTTCTTGCATTTGCTAGACATTGGCAATACTAAATATCCATGAGAATTATGTTGGGCCAAGTTACGTTGTAGGATTAGTATACTGGTCCTTGTTAGATGTAGATATTCTAACAGGTTTCACGAGATTGCAAAACTAGTTAGAAAAAAAGTTCTTAAACTTCTTCGAGATTGTATGGCTCCTACTGCAACCTAATCTTAAGGGATAGTTCTTCTATCTTATCTTTCCATTTAACAGACTAAGAGAGATTGTCGACTAGTGACACAATCTAACCATGGCATGGGGATGACATGTTTATGCACTTTCATTAATTTGCAACCAGGCAGCCTTGATAATGATTTTTTTCAACAGCAAACATCACTTTGATTAGCCCAATCATTTGCTCCATAAAAGGTTCAACAAAAGTGATTAAACTCACAAAAAGAAACCAAAGTTACTTTCCACAGATTATACTGTTCAAAGCCTCAACATAACTCCTACTTTACTCCAAAAAATCTACCTTGCCAAGGCTTAATGTTTTTAAGCCTTTCCCTACCTAATGCCCTTTCATTTAACACCAAAACCCCAATGTTCTTACTGTCCAAAATTTCTAGCAACTAATTCTCTGTAGTATCAGCAACAAATCACTTTCAAAAACAAGTAAACTCTAACCTTATCAATCTCCATATAACAAATACACCTAATTTTTTAACACGTTAATTTTAGTTTTTCTGATAGCATCAAAATATAAAGGATCCTAATTCTTCCCTCAATTGTATGACAAAATTACTTCTCTCTGATGGTTAAACATGCCAAATCAAACATGAAATTATAAGCATTATCTCAAGTTCATGAAGGCAGGAAAAAGACCTTTTGTTCAATTGAATGATAATGTAAAATTAATGGAAAACAAGATGAGTTCTATTGAAGCTTTAATAAAGACCACTTCAGAGATTATTGCAGCTGCCATCATCAGCCAGCAAGTGGATGTTGATGCCAAAGTAAAAGCAATTATAGCAGTAATTGACAAAACACAGAAGAACGAGATGTTCACAACATAAACGAAAGGAAGTCACAATGGCAGGATGATACTATAGTTGAAGCGTTTATTCTTAACAGGCTAGTTTACTGCAAGTATATATATATATATATATATTTTAAAAGTGAAAGCTATCTGGGCCTTATTTGGTTATGCTAATTTGCTGGGTCTATATTTGGGGTCTTTGATTGATCTAGAATGTAAGAGATATCAAAGTGTCAAAAAAACTCCATTTTGAAATCTTATTCCTTGTAGTACTACACTAAGGCCAGAAGCTATCAATTATGTGCATTTTTATATAATAGAGCTCAAATTTTGAGATTTTCAAGAATTTGTGACCAGTGATGCAACTTTACATTAGCTGTTATGCCAAAGAATTTGAGGCAACAAAATTAGAATATAAAATGAATGCAGTGAATGTTATTGTGTCAACATAAAAATTCACAACTTTGTAAGAGGAAAAGAAGGTCACTCACCGACATGCAATATAAAGGCAAGCTGCTGCAACTTGATCAGTTCTACGCCCCTTGGTAAAACTACGCTCGACAGCTATCTACAATGTGAAAAGTAAATCATATACTTGGCATTTCGAAAGAATCCAAGAGAAGGACAGAGTTAAGATGAAAAACCCGATAAAACGACTCAGCATGGCTTATTAAAGATCCGTCTCCTATCCGTAATTGTTCTGCCACACAACGGATTTTCTTACTGCCTGCAACATAAGAAAACAAGTGGCAGAAAAACTTTACGACACTACCAAGTACCAAGATTAAAAATACTAGTAATAATTTGTTGCCTAGTACAGCATACCCTTGATGTATACAAAATAATCTTATATTAAACTAATGTAAACATGGCGAACAAGAAAGATTGAAACAGCTAGTTACAGAATGTAACAACAGGATTTATCTTGCCCCGTGTAGTTGGGAAAAGGCTTTGATTTGAGAACTTTCCTTAAAATGTTGATAATCATTCAAAAGGAAGAGGAATATGGGCAAAAAGATCAGGTGTTTCTACCTTTCTTCATAATGTCATAGCCCTTGAAATTTGTCATCCTCAAATCACATGAAGAAGAAACACAGCCCTTAGCAAGACTTGAAGGTTCTTTTCTAAATTATTCGCATTTCTCTATAGTTTTAGGGGCAACAACTGTATCAAAAGAGTCCCAAAGTCTTTCAGCTGAACTCCATTACGTTTGAAACAAAGATATTTGGGCTGGAATTATTTGTGCCACTTTCCCAAAAAAAATTCAACAATTACTTTCTCCTTTTTTAATTTGTATTGTTTCCTTTTCAAAGGAACTTGGAGAGGATACATCAGAGACTATATTTGGTACCTGTTGGTTGCAGCTCTAGCCACTCTATAGCTTGCTAATTGTAAATCTTGTCTTTTGAATTTTCCTGGTTATTTCCGTGCTTGTGCATTGTAAAATCATCTTATTATACTAATTTTGGTATATCTCAACATTTCACAAAAAATGATTGTATATGTTCCAACTGGATATTAGCCTGATCAGTATCGCTATCCAATCTCAAAAGGTATGTGTTTGAGTTCAACTTCCTAATGGGAAGCGAGTTGATGTTTGAGTACTTATGCCAAAAAAGAAAAAAGGTTCCATAGAAGAATGGCATTTAATACAAAAGCAATTAATCCACACACGTGGTCGAATCCTTCCAACTACATTCCATAAAATTACTGTCGCTACATAAAAAGTCCACTTCTTCATATTTATACAGTATTTGTGTGCAAGAGAAAGCTAGACAAACTTGTTTGAGAATTTTTATATCAACAATGCAACAAAATATTTTCCATGCTTTTACGTTCCTTAATCCAGACAGCATAATCATACACCGATCAGAACTTCCGTTGCCACAACAAAACTATTTTATTGGTCAGTCTAAGTGTTTCCCGTTGAAGTGGAAAGAAGTTTTTAAATTTTTTTCAAAAGTTCAAGCAAACGCATGCACAATCACTATATTACCCCTAACAGAGCTTGTACACTCAACCTCTCATTTGAAGAGGAGATATCATACCATCTAAGCTAATGCCCATTGGTACAAGTGGGGGGAAATTCAGCTACCTCAGGTATAAAAAATATTCTTACATGTATACTTATCTCAACAAACCAAAACATTAAAAAAATAAAAAATAAAATAAAAAGAAAAAGAAGAATTTTATGTCAATTATTCATCATAGATATAATTTATAAATTTAAATGAACGAAATTTAGAAAATGAGAAAGAAAAGTAAGGAAGGAAAAGATACAGAGCACTATCACGTACCATTCTCTAAGGTTCTTCTAAAGGACTCAGAATACCAAATAGAACACTAAACACATTACTGTCCGCTCACCGACTCTGCATGTGTATTAAAATTGGTCATTACCATGAAAAAAATGAGACAAACAAAAAGTATTATTTGGTTCATGTGGTCCCACAAGGAGCCCAAATAATTCAATGACTGAGATTGCACAATTGCAGTTGTGCGGTGGGGCTGACATGATCCAATGACTAAGATTGCACAGTCGTGGATGCACACATGTACTTAGAACTCCTCTTCCATTTTGTTCTATGAACAACAATAGCAATTTCATTTTCTAATTTAAATAGTTGGTTTGAAACAAAGGTCATATATAAGCAAGTGAGGCACCTGATACCTCTAGTAGTTCAAAAAATGTCAACGGAATGATATAAATACAAAAACAAACCTCTCCTCCAGGGCCTTTGACAAATGTTGGCTCCTCGGTGAAGTCATCAGAGGAAACAACTTTTCCACATCGCATACAAGTTCTAAGAGGAAGGCACAAATGGCAAAAATTATAAACACTTCAGCAGTGGACAACACAGTTGTGGTTAAATAAAAATAGGTAGATGTAACTAAGAATAATTTAGTTTTTTATTATTAGGTAAAAATAACTAATAATTAAGTTGTTCCAACACAAAAATTGAAAAAGTAAATTAATAGAAAATAGAAGAATCAGATACTTACATGTAGAAACCATCACGCCCTGTAGGACAATCAGCCTGGCAGGAAGGGCACCAAACCATCTCTTTAAAGTTATTACCATCGACAATCAAACTGAGTGAAATTTAATATTAGTAGTCTTTAAAAGCAATAAAAAGAAAACAAAAGAAAAGGACAAAATTATTTCCACCATTTCATTTACATTGTGGCGTTGGCTACCAAACTTATTTTTATTTTTAATTTTAATTTTTTTTTGAAGTAGTGACAGTGAGACCAGAATTCTCTCAGGCGACATTGATTTTCGCTTGTGCATTCTAAACAGTTTTGTGTCATATCAATAATAAAAAGTAGGTAATAATGATTGTAGATGTACAACAAGAAAATCGGCAATAAGTAAAGAACTTGTGAGGATATGATCCAGTGATATTACGAGGCCGTGCATTGTTCTTTTTGTTGGGAAACGTACTAATTTTAAAAAAATTTCGAGGGATTTAAATTTATAGATCTTGATTCATTACATAGAGACAAGTTTCATGCAAAAATAAAATATAATGTATCATTCAATTAAAAGATTGAATACTTACATCAAGGTTTGAGTAAATCTTAGATCTCTCCTCTAAAGTGAATGTTCTCACTTATTGTAGATCCCTTAGCAAGATGCATTCTCCTTGGATCTCCATCTTCTTGGTAATTGTTTTACTTTTAGGAATCACTCATATGCCTCCATGAATGACCTTAGAAAACTAGGCTTGTGGGAGGCTCTATTAGATGAGAACATAAACCCTAATTTTCTAGAGAGAGAAAATTTATTCCTTTTTTTTCTTCTCATCAAAATCACCCCTAAAATATACATAGACCATGTATATTTATAGGCAACATAAAGGTAAAGAAAAGAAAACAAATAATCCTTCTCAATCTCTAATTCACATGTCTCAAATCTAATATGATTCCAATATCAAGTTGGGCTATGAGTGAGAATCCATTGGGCCTATTATTTTATTGGCTACAATGAATTAATGATTGGCCCGGTCTATAGACCCAATTAAATTAATTCATAAATTAATTTCTACTCCACTAAAAGAAATTAATTGAACTCCAATTAAATAATAAATAACCTCTAAGTCAATGTTGCACTTTGACCCCTCTATGCATAATTAGTTATCGGATAAATAATGCCATCAATCCGACTACTTAATTAATATATTTATTTTGGTACCTTTGATTATTTCTGGCTCGATCACAATAAAACATTTGTTCGACAAAAATAATAATTTAATAAATAAATATATAATAAATCATTTTGTCTAAAATCATACGAAGGCCTTCGAATTTACTTTGTGATCAACCATAATCAATACAAAATAAATACAAGTAGCAATGATGCAAATATTGAAAATATAACCCTCTAACTATTAATTACATAATTACCCGAAGTGTCGGTCTAAGGATCCCGAAGAATCCGCCGAACAAATCAAAGTAATTATTAATTAATAAAAGAGTCTATACTTTTCTCATACTTAAGAGTCAAATGCCATGACGGTGATAGGGAGTAATTGCATACGACGGCTCTCGCAATATATCTCAACCTAACGCGGATCCAGTTCAAGTCTTAATTAATTATGAGTCCATCCATAATTACCGACTATGAACAATTTATAATTGCTATTTATATATCATGCATTGATTGCCATCACATACATATACATAAATATTTCTTGTAATTACATAGACACTATCAATTTCATAGTGAATCGAAATATAATACATTGAATTCACCAATTGTATAAAACATAAATATTTCAGAAACGTCAGGAACATATGTCAATTAATCCAAACAGGAATTTGCTATGCCAGGGCATATAAATCCCAACAGCTCCCACTTGCCCTCATAGCCAATTCAAATTGCACCTAACTCCAATGTTATCCAGATGATGATCAAAATTATTGATCAATGACACCTTTGATAATGGATCAACAAAGTTGTGTTCCAATGCAATGTTCTAGCTACAAGTACATTTTCTTGCCGGATAATATCATGTAGAACATGATACTTCCTATCAGTGTATTTTGTTCATCTATGGAACCTTGGGTCATTGGTTTGGACTACTTCTGCACTATTGTCGCAATATAGCTCGATAGGCAGGCTAGTATGCTCCACAACCTCTAAATCAGTGAGATCAAACCAATAGGCTTATATTGCCACCTTTAAGGCTGCAATATATTCCACCTGCAGGTTTGAGTCAACAGTTGAAATCTGCTTGACAATCTACCAACTGATTTCCTTTCCATTAAGTGAACATACACTAAGTCATGTACCTCATAGTATCTACTTCTGATTGAAAATCAGAACTAGCATACCTGACTAGGACCATATCATCACATCCATAAATGAGTATGATATCATTGATTCTCCTTAGGTACTTAATGATATTTTTCACAATAGACCAGTTGTCAAGTCCAGTATTGGACTGATCTCTACTGACTATCCTTACTATGTAGCGGATGTCCTGTTTGGTATAGACCATGGCATATATGAGACTCTCATATGCCGAAACATATTGTTCCAGTCTCATTTGCTCAATCTCCTCTGCTAGTCTTGAAAAACTACTTACTAGAGAGAGCGATCCATATCAATAAAGCAAGAACTCATTCTTTGAGTTATGCATACCAAACCTGGTCAAAACTTTATCAATGTAGGATTATTAAGATAAGCCTATTTTCCTTTTAACCTGATCTTGCAAAAGCTTGATCCTAGGAATATAGCTTACATCTTGAAAATCCTTCATTTAAAAGTAATTGAACAACTACCTTTTAATTGATAACAAAACTTCCACGTCATTATAAATGAGTAGGATGTCATCAATATATAGAATTAAGAAAAATAATGACATTCCCTTGTACACTCATGATTTATTCACTAAGAAATCTTCTGGTATCTTTTTGTAGATTAACTTGCCTTCCATAGGAATCACCCTACTAGAAAGTTCTACAAGATCCCAGAATTTATTAGAATACATAGATTCCAACTCTGATTTCATAGTAACTCACCAAAACGATCTGTATCCACATCGGTTCACGCTTCCGTGTAGCTTACTGGGTCCAACTCATGTTTAACAGGGATGCCCATAATGGTCTCACCTAAAAACATGATTCTGTCGAATTGGATGATAATCCTCCCACTACATCAATGTACCGATGCAAGAATCTGTGTAGTAGATGATGCTAACGCATCAATAGGGAATTCATATATTATTCTCAATCTCTATAATAAGTGTGTTCACATGTGGTACATCTGGTACTCATACCAAATTCTCTAACATTATGCTACTAGGTATGTGATTCATAATATGATTCTCCTATAGAGAAACAGTGAGTGAAAACAATCAACTTTTATCTTTGAGATCATAAAATAATCCATCCTAGTGACATTTAAAGTAGCTATCAAATCTAGCATGCCTATGATCTGATTCCAACTTACTTGTCCATATCAAACGCACATATGCAAGACTACCCCATATGTGCATATGATTCAAACTAATATTTAGTCAAAAACACAGCTCAACGGTATCCTTGAGACAGACTAAGATGGAATGCAGTTCATAATGCGTATCGACGTCATTAACGCTAAACTCTTAAATGAAAGAGATAATGTGGCATTACTGATCATAGATCTAACCATGTTAAGTGGAATTCTGTTATTCCTATTTGACACCTAAATTAATTTAGCGTCAATTGCGGAAAACTGGTACACAACACCCTCATTGACCATATAGTCTTTGCACTATCCCAAGAAATACTCAAATACTCGATCAGATCGAAGTGTCTTGATAAGTTTACCTAATCTGTGCTCCACATCAGTCTTGACCCTCTCGGAATATACCAAAAGTATAAGACTTGTGTCGCAACAGGTAAATTTATCCAAAACGTGAGTAATCTTGATTGGATGTTCATAAGACTACACGTGTACGTGTGTACCGACTCCAATTGTTCTTTATGTCTATTTCATTTGGCTGATTAAGCCCTTAGAGTTATCTATCCTTCAAAACAAGATTCACAAGTTTGGTTTAGGCTCCTCTGCCTCACCAGGTAATAAACCTTCTTTAACCAATCTTTAAATCTCATTTTGATTGATTATAACCCAAAAATAGACACCAAAAATACAATGAGTCAGGAATAACAAATTTTCTCTTAACATTCAATCTAGAAGATGCAACATTAGTTTCTACATCCTGCAAATCTTAAGAGCTTGTGATTATAGTATATTAACCATCTTTCAATGCACCAGAAGCAATCGCATATCTATTCAATTTTATAAAACCAGTTTTACACAATAACGATCTAGTTTTTATAAGCCAAAAGTGAAATAAGAATGAGATTGCGTTTCACTTCTGTGCATAAAGATAGTTCTCTAATACTAATATCCTCATACTCTCTAATTTCAGATGTAATACTCCCACTGACTTAACTACAACCTTGGCATCAGGTCAAAAGATAAATATATATCAATATCATCAAGGCTTTTGGATTCCTGAAATCCTTACAATAAATTGCAAACATGTTTAGTGGCTCCAGAATCTATCCATCAGGAATCAATAGATACAACCACATAACATGGCTCAATGATTAAATATATATTTTCCTATGCCACGTCATTGCTTAGACAGTTTGTCATTTAGTGTCTTAGTTAACGGCAAAAGAAACAGTTTCATTCGCCCTCAACATACACTGCCTTATTCCCTTTAACCTTTTAGATACCTATGTTTTGTGCTAGCCTAGTCCTATTATCATCCTTCTTCTTTGCTTTGCCCGTCCACTTGGGCCTAGAAGAAGATGGTATAGACTAGGTTAGATTGATAGGAACGCCCATACTCTTGATTATCCCTTCATCTGTTACCAATTCTATAAGAATATCAGCGAGTGTGAACTCAAACTGATTCCTTATTTAGTTCACTATAACAGAATCGAACGAGTTTGGTAACAAGACAATAATCATGTCAACTTGAAACTTACCACCCAAGTCAGCCCTATTGATCTCCAGCTAATTTTAAATAATAAACAATCATTTTCCAAAATTTGATTTCAA